CAACCCGAGAGATTATAATGACCAAACAAACTATAATCGTCTTCCCACTCATAATTAGATTAAATATTCAACAGGGAGGGACCAATAAGGCTTCAGCTTCACAAACAATCCCGCCATTTGGTTGCATGTTCCGAATGGTTCACAAACTCAACTTGCATTTACAGCATTATTCAAAGAGTGAGTGTTATTGAGTTTGAAAATGGAATTGCGCAGCTCCACGGTGACTGACCTGTACGTGTCTGAAGGCGGCTGTGAGCTGTGTCATGTGCAGAGTCAAACACCTGGAGGTACACCGGGCACTGTTCATCTTGTCCTGGACATCTTCGAGTTCCGGTGAAGTCCTGCGCGCCCCGACCGTGGCCAGCAGCGCGCACAGGCGAACCAGAACCGACGCGCGTAAAGACATGGTGCCAAGCAGAAAACACGCGCTTTATCAAGGCGCTGTGGGCTCCGAAGCTTTGTGTGGACTCTGTGTGTGTGTAAGTGCGCTGGTCCTTCTCTTCCCACTGATGAGTTGTGAATGAAAACATCTGCGCTCCGACAAGAGATGAGTGCTTTGCCTTACGCGCAGACACTCCCCCCTTTCCATCCTCCCGAGCGCCGTTCCCAAGCTCCTCTCCGCAAATGACAAGCACATTCTGGTCCGTATTCTCCGTGTTTACATAATCATTACGTTGCGTTTCTACGGATTCACAGGTGCGTTCCGTATGATTATTACAGAGCCAGGGCCGGCGCTGAGCTTTTGGGGGTCCTAAACGAAGTCTTGCAGGCTTCCAAATGGAAACAAGTACAGGCAATAAATCAAAAATATCTCGATTGAAACGCCTTCACCATCATTTATACGTCTCACTTTGGATCGAAAAATAAAGTGTTCAAATTCCTTCATGGTTATTTATGTATTATTTGCTTCTTTACATCTGAGTTCAGGGTGAACAGGCACAGCTGAAGTTTGAACCGGGCATCTCCTGTTCACTAGAGCCACCGGCCACTAACCGGTGCAGGGGAAGTCAATAAAGCACTTACTTTCTGTGTAACATGCAGCCCCCTCACTTAAAAACAAAGTTGAAATTCCTCCCGTTAATTAAAATCTTCTTATCATTTTCTTCTGGCCAGTTAAAACGCAGTGAATCATGGATCCAAATTCGAGGCCATGATGTTTGACCGGTAAAAAGGTGCCATAGCCCTCTCCAGGTGGAGAGGTCTTTCAAGTATCTCGGGGTCTTTTTCACCAGTGAGGGAAGGATGGAGTGTGAGTTTGACAGGCGGAGCAGGGATGTGGTCGCTGTATCAGACCGTTGAGGTGAAGAGGGAGCTGAGTTGAAAGGCAAAGCTCTCCTTCACCGGTCAAACTATGTGCTCACAGGACAAGGTTGCGGATACAGGAGGTCGAAATGAGCTTTCTCTGCCGGTTGGTGGTTGTTTTGGATGCCTCCCGGACGCCTCCCTGGGGAGGTGCCTCGGGGTTCCATTGGATGAGCTGGAGGAATGTGTGTGGATATGGAAGTCTGTAATTGATGGATGGAATTTCATATCCAAAATAGTTATACTGGCATTTGTATAAATAATTCATTGATGGTTAATTAAAGAAGCGCACACAAAAATCATTAAATAATATGCAAAATATTGACATTTACATACAACAGTCAGAATGACATGCAATGGTCCCAATGATTAAACAGAATCTGAATTATCGCTATATTTGGCCGCTGTGTTTACACTGAACAAGGCTCGGCTAAAACACTAGGTCGTACGGTGGGTTGAAATCCAAGTCAAAAAGACAACGCAGCGCGGGGCGGTCTGTGTGAATAAAAAGGGTGATTTTGAAAACCCCTTGAGATCTTGGCTGGTTCTCTTATGATTGTGGTTAAGCCATTTTGTCATGAATTGATTCTTGAGTACTCTGAAATGAGTAACAACAAATATAACAGAATCTACCATTAGGTCAGTAATACACAGCAACACTGTGTCCTATCTGCATTGGGTGTAATGTGTTAAAGTAGCAAAACTACTTTTTCCGGGGAAAAGTAAAGTAACGCGTTAACTATCGACAAAATAGTAAAGTTTTTACCATGGGCAGCTGTGACACTCTGCTGGTGCTTGTGGATCAGTCACGACACACCACAGCAGCACCAGTGAGGCTGACTTTTTTCTTTTGATGAGGAGGAAGACGCAGCGTTCTTTAGCGCAGAGTAAATGAAATCAGGCTCAGAGTTAGAGATCCTAAAGCCATTTCCCCGAGTGAGAGCTGTGTTCATGAAATACAACAACCCACTATGTGTACTTGCTCTGTGGTGTTTTTGATCATAAACAGCATGAAAGAAATATCTGAACTTCCAGATAGAACTTCCACCACACATTTAAGAATAGTTCTGCTCAAAGTTGAGCATAATTACAGTAACACAAAAGTAAAGTGAAGAATTACAGTAACACAAAAGTAAAGTGAAGAAGTTACTTTCTTTAACTAAGTAACAGGTTAGTAACGAGTAATGAGAACATTTTTTAAAAGTAAACACTTGGAAGTTCTTATCCATGCATTTGTCTCCAGTAGGTTAGACTACTGTAACGACCTGCTCATTGGTCTCTCGCACAGTATATTCAAAACGCTGCTGCCTGAGTCCTGATTAGAACCAGGAAGTTTGATCAGATCAGTCCAGTTCCCAGGTCTCTGCACTGGCTTCCTGTGGCTCAGAGAAAGCTGCTCTGCTTTGTCTCTCCAAGGCCTCGCACCAAAGTGCATCCAACACATGTTAGTGCCATATGAACCAATTCAGACTCTGAGGAGCACAGGGACTGGCACATGGGGAGGCAGCATTTCAGATGTACAGTATGCAGCAAAAGTCTGGAACAGTCATCCATCCATTTTCTTCCCCTTAATCCATTTCTGGGTCAGGGGGGTGGCAGTCAGAGCTACACCGGGTACACAGAGCACCAGCCCCTCACTGAGTCCACAGGAGCCTTGGTCCTTCAGTGGGGGCTTCAGGCGAAGTGGGGTAAAGTGTCTTGCCCAAGGACACAACGACATCAGTCATCAGTGGGAGTCGTGAAGTGGGTCTCATGGTGGGCTCGGACCCACAACCTTCAGGTTAAAAACAGTTCTGTTTAGCTGTGCATTAAACTGAGGGATATAATCTTTAGTCTTTTTAAGGTGCTGTGATTATGTATGATTCTAATGCCTTGAGTGATTGATTTCATCTTGTTTTTTTAAGCACTTTGAGTTGCTTTGTGAATGAACTGTGCAAGACAAATAAACCTGCTTTGCTTTGCCTCTCCAAATAAATTAGATGCAGTGTTTTCATTATTTCTAAAAATGTCTTTATAATGTGTTAACCCTAACCCTTGTTTTACGACGTTTTTATTTGACTTTAAAATAGTAAAACTACTTTGAGTAGACACATTCATATGCAATGTCATCTAATTCAATCAACACAGACAAATGTGAAGTAATCCAAGTGTTTAGAATATAGTGCTCTTGAACATAGAACAGAATGTGTTCAATAATACTTCTTGAATTATTTTCTTTAGTTTTTCAAAAGTACTCTCCCCGACACTGTCTGCTGCTAAAATGTATTTATGATAAGCAGCCATACATAGCTGCCCTCTTACAATGGCCTCTCCTGTTCCCCCATTTACAGTTATTTCCATGCTCATTATCACTCGCGTCACCATCAAAGCAGCAGTGCCATTCGCTCACACCGTGTCGCTTCTAAAAACGGCTCCAACATCACAGGGGCCCGCTCCACTCCAAGCACTCCCAATGGCCGTCTGTTGTTTTAGTGCCATTAACACTTTATTTTTAAAGCTCTCCAAACAAATCGTGCATTATGTGCCTGTTGAATCATGCTAATCATAGGAGCAGACTAATAAAAGAGAGATTTATTCAGTAAGTGTTTGGGCAAAAAGCTCTGGATGCATGGGGGTCGACGGGAATAGCTGCAGTGAATGTAATAAATAAAGAGATGCCAAGTTACGCGGGACACAATATTCTATTTGTGTACATTACAGCTTCAAGCGCTATACGTCAATTATATGAAATAATTCCTCCCAATGCAACATCTTATTATTTGACCTTTCAACCACATAGTTCCTCGTCAAAATTAGATCTTTTAAAATTTGTAGACAGCAAAACTAAAGTGCTACTTGCTCTAGATAATACTAATAGAAGTTTAGTTGTTTTGATTTTTTTTTTAAACACTTCCATTTTGTTTGTATTATTATTTAATTGAAATACATTATTTTTGTGATTAGATTAGAATTATGATTATTTGGCAATTAATTTAATTTGGTATATTTTGCACCTAATTTTGTCATCATTTTTGCTAAAGTTAATCATGGGTTCATTTTGATTTAATGTATATTCTATATTTTTTCTCAGTCCTGGCCCAGGCTAGCTAAGGTGTACCGCAGGGGAACGGGTGGCGTGTGGAGTGGAGCCAGACAGTTTTCTGACCTCTCTCTCGCTAAACTCTCTCGTCTTTTATGTCCTTTTCCTTTTTGTCCAGTATGTGTGTTTTGTGTGAATACTCAGTAAAGAGTTTTTAATTGCATCTACTGTTCCATGGATCTATTCACTCACTTTATACACTATGGATTATGGTTTGAGAGCGTCAACTACACGGCTTCACTGTTTGGACCCTACAACGTGTTCTATAGAATCACACACACACACACACACACACACACTCAGATGTTGATGGACCCCTCATTAGTATTGTGGATTCTTGACAACTCCAAGTATAAGCAATGTAGACAAACCCTTTGAGAATATCATGATGATGTTGCCAAGTGAAATGTGTTCATGTTACAATGTCACAGCTATATTACAGTCTGTTATAACTAAAACCTACTGTGTAAAGCCTGGATCCCATGTAAACAGCTGCGGCACCATTATAACCATGTATCACTTGCTTGTCTGTGTCAAACTATCAGGCAACATACTTCCCCTACTCCAGGGTCCATGTACCAGGGCCATATCCATCCAAACGCCTGCTGATGAAAGCCAAATGCGGAGGGGCCGGGTGGATGGGTGGACGGGGGGGCACGGGAGGGGGGGACACTTGTGCAGGCAGATGTTTGGCTCGAAGAAAGTGTATGAATGTGAGCTCCTAAGCCGCACAAGTCAGTAAAAATCAGCCAGAAAGTGATTGAATAACAGTTTGTGTGGAACACTTTGCAATCAGACACTGCAAAACCGTAGACGTGTTCTCCCGTGTGAACAAACCACAAAATCCGCTGTCTATTATTTGATTAGTTCAGTTGAAAAATGCAAACATGTTCCCACAATGATATGTGAGTTAGATTTAGCGCACTACATGGGACAATATATAATTTTGTACAATCAAGACTAATGTATTGACTTTGTTCCATTCAAAGTTCAAACTGTTGACCATTGCGAGACAACATAAGAACTCAAGCAGGGCTCTGCCCCACTCTGATCCTGCCCATCCATGTTTGTCCATATTCTACTGCTTTGTCTGAGGCCGGGTCATTGGGTCATGGAGGATGTGCAAACATGTTCAGATTTCCCACTGCGCTCTACCTCCAGCTCCTCCGGGGGAATCTAAGGCACAGGCCAGTTGAGAGCAGAGACATAGTCCCTTCAGTGGGTTTTCACCTTTCTCTGTGGGACACTCCCATAACAGGTCAGAAAGTACAGTAGCAGCAGCTTTACTCCAAGCTTCTCTTACTGGGGGAGCATCAACCACTCTGCACATAAAACTCATTTTGTCTTCTGGTCATGACCATCGGTGAGACTCAGAATGCGGTATGAGGGACTCGGCTCTTCACCACAACACTCCATAACAGTGACAGCATCACTACAGACAGGAGTTCTGACAGCAGACGCTGCTCCCTCTCCACCTCAACAGTCAGATACAGCGTCACTAGACAAGCTGCACTGATCCGTTTGTCAATCTCAACTCCACAACTTGGACACCTTTCTCTCGTCCAGAAGCATGGCCTCAGATTTGGTTCTTGCTCTGATATCACTTCTGGAATTATAGAGATCAATATGGGGAACTCCAATTAAAATCAGGTTAGCAATGTTTTGTTTTACGCTTGGACTCAGTCTTTATTAGGACTCATAGTTCGTTACTACCTCAAATCACTTACTGACTGGATACAAAGAGCTGTTGACTCGACTGCTTTTTGGTCCTCATTTTTTTCTCAATCTGAGATTCATTTTTCAGATTAAAATTGATACGGTTTGTCTCTCATGTCCTCAGTCACACCTACAACCTGAGCCTCAGCCTGCAGAAGGTGTCTGTCCCATGGAAGACCTTCTGTGTGACTCCTGTTAACTAAAGCAGCACACGCCAAGGAACCGGCTCAACAGTTGCACTGACCTCCCACCTGATGAAGACCATGGAGCAGCTCATCTTCACCCAGCTCTGCTCTGTGGCCAACCCCACCCTGGACCCGCTGTTGTTCACCTACAGGCCCAACATTGGAGTAGAAGACACTCAAATGCTGATGAGTGTGTCAGCCAAAGTCACCTCCATCATGGACAACACCTCCCACTGCACAGGACTGTCGAGGAGCTGAGGAGCTCCTTCAGTGGAAGACTGAGGCATCCTTGGTGTAAGAAGGAGCACCTGTCACTTAATGACCTGCACTAGGACTGTAAACCTACACTGCTATAGTCACTCTTTAATTGTTTTACACATTCCCTGTTGTTTGCATATTTCCGTCTTTTAGCACACATTGACTTTTTATGCCAAATGTGACATGTACATTTATCTATTGTGAGATCAATAAAGTTAATCTAATCTTATCTCATCATTTCCCCTAAATTTTATTGAAAAGGAGAATGAATTTCACAAAGCTATGTACACTTTAAAATTATGTAATGTTATGACACGGTCTGCTGAGGAAGGGCCATACGCAGCTCAAAAGCAATCCACACAAAACAGAAACTTTATCACTGTGCAGACCACATCAGGGGACACAGACCATGGTGTGTTTAACATGCAGCAAACTGGATCATCCTCGCAATACCACAGCTTACAGAGTTTATACTTGAATTTCTCTCAATCACTGAAGTGGTCTGAAAATGATTTCCCATGTCTCATCTGCAGCTTATCTGTCAGTTTGGGAATGTTAACACAGAAAACTTTCCAAGACTTGATTTTCCTCCTGCTCGCTCAGTTTTGCCCTCTGGCTCCATCATGTGGTGGTAACGGGCAAGTGCACTTTGTATACCGATAATTGAGATAAAGTAACTCCACATTTGGTCTTGAAAAATTCACTGACCCATAAACAGGAAATATGAATACTAAAATGTAGATCTTTTAGACAATTTTAATTCAGATTTTGTTAACAAAATTAAACAAAAGAGTTTTGCCTTTTTCAGTTATTTATTTAAAAGGTGCAATGATTATGGTGTTGATTTATCGTTTACAACAACAGGTCATACGTTTGGAATTGAAAATACATCACATGTGGGTTTTATATGATAGGTTCATAATTTAAATCTGTTTTTTCTTTTTCTTTTTAAGTTGTTTTACACTTTATCTTAGTTTGTAGTAAATATGCATACATACAGTGCCTTGCGAAAGTATTCGGCCCCCTTGAACCTTTCAACATTTCGCCACATTTCAGGCTTCAAACATAAAGATATAAAATTTAAATGTTTTGTCATGAATCAACAACAAGTGGGACACAATCGTGAAGTGGAACGAAATTTGTTGGATAATTTAAACTTTTTTAACAAATAAAAAACTGAAAAGTGGGGCGTGCAATATTATTTGGCCCCTTTACTTTCAGTGCAGCAAACTCAGTCCAGAAGTTCAGTGAGGATCTTTGAATGATCCAATGTTGTCCTAAATGACTGATGATGATAAATAGAATGCACCTGTGTGTAATCAAGTCTCCGTATAAATGCACCTGCTCTTTGATAGTCTCAGGGTTCTGTTTAAAGCGCAGAGAGAACCATGGAGACAAAGGAACACACCAGGCAGGTCCGAGATACTGTTGTGGAGAAGTTTAAAGCCGGATTTGGATACAAAAAGATTTTCCAAGCTTTAAACATCTCAAGGAGCACTGTGCAAGCAATTATATTGAAATGGAAGGAGTATCAGACCACTGCAAATCTACCAAGACCCGGCCGTCCCTCCAAACGTTCATCTCAAACAAGGAGAAGACTGATCAGAGATGCAGCCAAGAGGCCCATGATCACTCTGGATGAACTGCAGATAACTACAGCTGAGGTGGGAGAGTCTGTCCATAGGACAACAATCAGTTGTGCACTGCACAAATCTGGCCTTTATGGAAGAGTGGCAAGAAGAAAGCCACTTCTCAAAGATATCCATAAAAAGTCTCGTATAAAGTTTGCCACAAGCCACCTGGGAGACACACCAAACATGTGGAAGAAGGTGCTCTGGTCAGATGAAACCAAAATCAAACTTTTTGGCCACAATGCAAAACAATATGTTTGAAGTAAAAGCAACACAGCTCATCACCCTGAACACACCATCCCCACTGTCAAACATGGTGGTGGCAGCATCATGCTTTGGGCCTGCTTTTCTTCAGCAGGGACAGGGAAGATGGCTAAAATTGATGGGAAGATGGATGGAGCCAAATACAGGACCATTCTGGAAGAAAACCTGTTGGAGTCTGCAAAAGACCTGAGACTGGGACGGAGATTTATCTTCCAACAGGACAATGATCCAAAACATAAAGCCAAATCTACAATGGAATGGTTCACAAATAGACGTATCCAGGTGTTAGAATGGCCAAGTCAAAGTCCAGACCTGAATCCAATCGAGAATCTGTGGAAAGAGCTGAAGACTGCTGTTCACAAACGCTCTCCATCCAACCTCACTGAGCTCGAGCTGTTTTGCAAGGAAGAATGGGCAAGAATTCCAGTCTCTCGATGTGCAAAACTGATAGAGACATACCCCAAGCGACTTGCAGCTGTAATTGCAGCAAAAGGTGGCGCTACAAAGTATTAGCGTAAAGGGGCCGAATAATATTGCACACCCCACTTTTCTGTTTTTTATTTGTTAAAAAAGTTTAAATTATCCAATAAATTTTGTTCCACTTCACGGTTGTGTCCCACTTGTTGTTGATTCTTGACAAAAAATGTCATTTTTATATCTTTATGTTTGAAGCCTGAAATGTGGCGAAATGTTGAAAGGTTCAAGGGGGCCGAATACTTTCGCAAGGCACTGTACATATCATTTTCTCCCAGGCAGGAATGTTGTGATAGAGGGATCCTTGAACACAATCTTACCATTAATCTTTTTTCCAGCGATCAAGGTCACACTACTCTACTTCCACTTTTCTGACCGTGGACACTGCTGTAGCTCTGACAGATTAGTTGCAGTCTCTATCCGGCATTGTATTTCTGCTCCTCACAGGAAAGATAAATAATAATAATAATAATAATAAATCTTTATTTGTATAGCACTTTTCAAAAACAATGTATACAAAGTGCTGCACAGTCAGCATAATAAACAATAAATCAGTCATAATACAAAGTTAAACCAGATAGAATACAAGAAGACAAGACACACAGAGGAAACACAAAAAGAAAGACAGAACAGAGACAAGACAGACAGTAAAATACGACATTATACGTTTAAAGCTGACAATTAAAAGCTGTGCGATAAAACTAAGTAAGTAAGTAATCTTTGTTCATATACCGCCTTTTATAGGCCAGAGTCACAAAGCGGTTTACAATTGTTATTCTTGGGCATTTGTCCCTCACTCCACACAGAGATGGGAGGGGCCAGTACAGGAGGCACATGCCAGAACTATTGTACATGTTTTTAGCGGTAGGGGAAACCGGAGTACCCGGGGGAAACCTACACAGACACGGGGAGAACATGCAAACTCCACTCAGAATAGCAGTGGTCCGACCGGGATTCTAACCCAGGACCTTCTTGCCGAGAGTGCTATCCACTCAGCCACCGTGCCGATACTGATGGTGCTAGCCTTATACCTCCTAAATATATTTAATAGATAAAAGATAGATAATACAAATCATATATAAAAAGAATATATACTGTCTTTACTTCCCCATGGGCGGCACGGTGGCTGAGTGGATAGCACTCTCGCCTCTCAGCAAGAAGGTCCTGGGTTCGAATCCCGGTTGGACCAGGGCCTTTCTGAGTGGAGTTTGGATGTTCTCCCCGTGTCTGTGTAGGTTTCCTCCGGGTGCTCCGGTTTCCCCTACCACTAAAAATATGTACAATAGGTCTGGCATCTGCCTCCTGTACTGGCACCCCCACTCCAAAAAATAACAATTGTAAACCGCTTTGAGACTCCGATGTGCAGTGAAAAGGTTGCCTGGCCTGCCAAACGATATGCTTTTTCAAAGACATATTCTTTTGAACAGAAAGGAGGAGTGTCTGGCAGGCCAGGCAAGTGAAAAGGCGCTATATAAATAAAGCTTACTTACTACTACTGCTTACTACCCATAGTAAAGGGTATTTTTGTGTTGCTATGCTATTTCTCATCCTGAAGAGCACCTGATTTTTATTACGTCTTTTACTTTTGGACCCTGTTGCACTCACTCCCCCTGTTTCTGAGAACACAATATGTTTGTGGGATGGTTTGCTGGTGTAGTTCCCGTGGTGGGCTGTAGGGGGCAGTACGCTCGGAGCCGCAGAGCTGTGCTGCAGGAGTGTGGGTTGGACACGAAGAAGGCTGACAGCGGAAGTTTTGATCCATGGGCAGATGACACACGGGGACGCTGCGAAACTTTCAGGTATTTTAAAACAACGTATTCATTTTCTTAACGGTTTATTTACTCAATAATCACATCCGCGACATTGCTAGCATCATGCGACATTCTGCTAGCTTAGTGTTTTGACGCGACATTAAGCGACCTGTCTGTACTTTTATTCCAACAGTCCTGTTAAGTTTACTGTTTGAAGACATAAATGGCTCACTCCACACTAAACTGTACCAATGTGTTATATTTTTGTCAATGACGTGAAAAAGTCCCGAAATGTCCACGTTTCCGTTGAATGTTCACAGACTCTTGTGTTGTCCTCAGCTGCTTGTCCAGCAGAGGGCGCTCTACTTAAACACAGATTCATTCACGCCTGTATTATTAACAGCGCTCCAAGACAATTTTTGGACGTAACAAAAGTGGACATGATTGTTACGTCCAAAACGCCTAGTTCGTCTGCAATTACTGAATATTTTTTTGCATAATGTAAAATCTATAATTACAGATTGATTATAGTTATATCTCCAACCACTACCCATTAAATAGTCTCCTGTGTCCTGTTCATTCTTCCGTTCACAAAGCCTCCAACACGACATGTCCTAAATGTAACAGTTATGTCCCAAAGTTCAATACCATTTTTTTTAAAGGCCTCCATTTCTCTTGAAATTGTTTTAGCTGCCCTTCTGAGATTATACTATGAATACACTGCGTGCAGAATTATCAAGCAAGTTTTATTTTTGAGTATTTATTTAATTATTGAACTACAAGAGTGCTTTTGATCAATGCAAAATGTTGATACATCCCAAAAGTAGATATTCCAAAAAGTAAAAGTGAGTTGTTGCCAATCATAAAAATACAAAGAATCTATATCTGTGTGTTCACAATTATTATGCAGCTCAATGAAAATCAAAGTTATCTCAACTCATCTATTCATTTGTTTAAGTAATGATAATAATAAAACAACAAGAAATGGTTATTATCAAACCAAACTTGCACTCATGTGTAGCTTGTGTGAGTGTGTGAGAGAGAGAGAGGGAGAGAGGGAGGGGGGGGGGGGGGGAGGGTGTGTGTGTTTGACCAGTATAAATGAGTGATATGAATGTGAGTTTTAAACAAATTGTGCATGTAAAGACTTGTATTTTGGCCAAATGTAAACTACATCCATGAATGTGTTATTTTTTAATGTGACATAACATCAGCCTGCCCTGGGACTACAGGTGGAAATTAGCTCTTGAGCTATAACCTGGTACAATGCATCTCTCCTTTCAAGGTTAATGTTTATTGTGCACTGTCCTTGTCATCTTAAATAAATAAACTAAACTAAACTCCTAATGTACAAAAATACTGCTAAAGTTTTAACAACAGAACATCAGTGGCCAATATAGCCACCCTTCTATTCAATAACACTCAAAAGCCGGCCATCCATGGAGTCCGTCAGTTTCTTGATCTGTTGACGATCAACTTTTTGTGCCGTAACAACCAACGCCTCCCAGACACTGTTCAGAGAGGTGTACTGCTTTCCTTCCCTGTAAAGGTCTCGTTTAATAAGGGCCCACAAGTTCTCAATTGGGTTAAGGTCAGGTGATCAAGGGGGCCATGTCATAATTTTTCCTTCTTTTAGGCCTTTACTGGCCCGCCAAGCAGTGGAGTATTTGGATGCATGAGATGGAGCATTGTCCTGCATGAAAATCATGGTCTTTTTGAATGATGCAGGCGTTCTCCTGTACCACTGCTTGAAAAAAGTTCCTTCTAGAAAGTAGAAACTGACTGTAAGTTTGGGAGTTGAGTTTTAGTCCATCTTCAACCCTAAATGGCCCAACCAGCTCATCTTTAATAATACCAGCCCACACCAGTATTCCACCTTCACCTTGCTGGCGCCTGAGCCGGAGTGGGGCTCTCTGCCCATGACTGATCCAACCACGGGCCCATCCATCCGGTCCATCAAGAGTCACTCTCATCTCATCAGTCCATAAAACATTGGAAAAATCTGTCTTCAGATATTTCTTAGCCCAGTCTTGACGCTTTATCTTATGTGTCTTATTCCGTGGGGGTCTTTCTTCAGCCTTTCTTACCTTGGCCATGTCTCTGAGTACGGAACACCTTGTACTTCTGGACACCCCAGGTAGGTTACAGTTCTGGAATATGACTGCACTGGAGGATAATGGGTTCCTAGTAGCCTCACGCTTGATTCTCCTCATATCTTTTGCCGTTACTTTGCGTCTTTTTGTCTCAACACGTTTCTTGCGTCCTTGTTGGGAATTTGCAACAAAGCGTTTGATGGTCCTATGATCACGGCTCAAGATCTTGGAAATTTCAGTAGTGCTGCATCCCTCTGCAAGACATTTGACAATTTTGGACTTTTCAGAGTCTGTGAGATCTCTCTTCTGGCCCATGTTGCCTGAGAAAAAGAAGCTGCCTAATAATTGTGCACACCTGATGTAGAATTTGGATCTCCTTAGGCCACGCCCTCGCTCATTTTTAAAATGCACTTCACCTGGTATGCTTAAAATCGATTGGCATTCAAGATTATACAGATTAGAGCTTGACAATATGTATAGAATGGACAATGTCATCAAAATACTGACTTGCCTAATAATTCTGCACGCACTGTATAGGTCACATTTTTGTATTGGTTAAAAAATGTTTAGCTACAAACATTTGTAGTTCATACATTTATTTTATTGTCGCTTGAAGTTAGATCGAGCAATGGTACAGTTTAGTGTGGAGTGAGCCATATACATAAACGTTATATATTCTTACTAATATTATTTTATGGTTTTGGGTTTTGTATGATGCAATGTTGTTTTCCTTGCCAGTACTTAAAAAAAAAATATGTTAAAAAACTAACTACTATTTAATAAATGTTGTTCGACCCAACAGATAGAGTAAAAGTAGGCAACATGTTATCCTCTACATAACCTATTTGTTAAAAAGAGCTTTGTTAGTCACTAATGGACTTTTGTTTCAGAGGTGTCTCTCATCATGATTCCAACAACACAGAGAGAGTTATTATCCCGGAGGAAGGGAGGAAGGTCATATAGATACTTTTTATGATTAATGCGTGAAGAGAGGAAATTCCATTACTGATAATTGGACTTATGCAGCAGTATGGATGATCTCACCACGTCTGGGAACAGAGCTGATTACCAAGGATGTTTCTTAATCTGGAAAGCCAAAAGGGGTGTCTGTCTGTGTCAGGGATGAACCAGACAGAGACGGATCGTGGTGCGCCAAACTCTGGAAGTTTATTTAGGTTTCTCTCGAGTTCCAGTGGTTTCCATTGTTTCTTTCTCTCAGACAGAATAAAGGCAGTACACAGTTTATATAGTCATTGTCACGTCACACATGGAAAGACGTGTCACACAGAGACAGTCACATCAGAGTCAAAATAATCAGAGTCCTTGTAGAGTCTTGCACGTAGGCCATATTGCTATCTAATACTAACATCTGCTATACAGTTTATTTTTATTCTCTGAAAGTATAAATATGTATGTAAAGTGAGCGGCACAGACACTCTGGGACTAGACACTGATCTGGCAGGAGGTTCTGAAAAAGCCGGCTTCTATTTCATTGACTAACAAGGTGTGCGAGGATTGGGTCCTTGAAGCGCAATTATTGATTGATTATCTTTGCTTTCAAACTCTTTAATATAACATTTGAATTGAATTTGCTTATAGCTTTAATACTAAAAACACTGTTAAGATTTACCATTCCAGTTTGCTAGAAATTGGTTTTTTTTGTCTTTTCATCAATTTTCTGATTTAATGTGAAAACTACTGATAGACAAATAGACAAATGTATTAAATAGATATTTTGTAAGTATTGTCTGATTGCCATATTTCAGGATGAGCATGTATATGTTGTTCCCTCAATCAATCAATCACATTTTATTTATAAAGCGCTTTTCATACAGTAGATGGAATACAAAGTGCTTTACAGCTTGATTAAAAGCAATCCTGCTGGTGTTTGATTCATCCACGTCCTTTTCAAACCATGCACTTGTATATCTGTGTCTGCTATGTTATTTTATTTTTTTTGCAATGATGATGATGATGGGGCAGGTTTTGAAATAAGTATTATATATCTATCTATCCTGCTGGCCCATGACCCCTCCACCCAACAGACCAAGCCAACAGACCAACCCCAAACCACATATAAGAAGAACGCACGCATGAGCAGACGCACACACATGCACACACTCACTCACAAACATGCACACGCACACATGCTCATATAAACGCACGCACACAACTGTGAAGAGAGACTTTTCCCTGACAAGTACTCAGTCCAATCTCTTTCTTTTTAACACAATACATAATTTTAGACTTGGCGTTGGCTCAACTGTATATTTAAAAACACAGTTGTCAGAGTCCCTTTTCTCTATCTTTTCACTGTACCAGAATCTCACCTGAGCACCTGTAAGTGTTTTTCACTGTTTTTGATCGACTGCAGGACTCCTGCAACACCTTCACTCAAATAATGATTTTACTTGACTAGCTGAAGAAGACAATATTTTGGCCACTTGGCTACTAACATTTTGAAGTCTTGTGCAGGACATGTCCAAGAAGTCCAAGAGGAGGAAATCAAGGAGGCTGTCGTCATCCTCCTCGTCAAGTGAGGATGAAAAGGTGCAGTAGCTTCTAGCTGATCTTGGTGTTTTCTTCATCGCAGTCCATAATGTAATCCATAAGAACAATTGTGATGCAGTACTGCTTCAGCTGGGACTTTTCCCAACCTACAGAAGGTTGCATGGCCATGGGCTTTTTTTTTTTTTCTTTACCACTGAGGCAATACTAGTACTATAGTGTTTTTTTTGTATTTAGCAGTTTTCTGGTTGTTCTTCCCACTGCCCTTCTCCCTAGGCTTAAAAGGGGCAATTGTAACGACAAAAATGACTAGAGCATGGTTTAAGCGTGTTTTTGAATGCGCTGGAAACGGCAGAAAGTCGCAAGTAGCTCAGAAACAGCTGCTGTTTTCTGCTTTACAATTTCTATTTTTATTGCTTTTTTTCTGCCTGAGATGTTGCTGCAGTACAGTGTTCATGGTTTTACACTGGTCCAGACCAGAGCAGAGAGGATTCATGGTCCGGACCAAGTCGATCAGATGAAAATCCACAGGAGGAAGGCTAACTTTTTGAAAATTGCTAATGAAGCATTTAGCGTTTTACTTTGGACCAGAGCAGAGAAAATGGTCCGAACCAAGCGGCTACTCCACCTCTGCTGCTGTGACCCGTCCTGCTCCACCCAGAGGCTACTCCACCTCTGCTGCTGTGACCCGTCCTGCTCCACCCAGAGACTACTCCACCTCTGCTGCTGTGACCCGTCCTGCTCCACCCAGAGGCTACTCCACCTCTGCTGCTGTGACCCGTCCTGCCTCCACCCAGAGGCTACTCCACCTCTGCTGCTGTGACCCGTCCTGCTCCACCCAGAGGCTACTCCACCTCTGCTGCTGTGACCCGTCCTGCTCCACCCAGAGGCTACTCCACCTCTGCTGCTGTGACCCGTCCTGCTCCACCCAGAGACTACTCCACCTCTGCTGCTGTGACCCGTCCTGCTCCACCCAGAGACTACTCCACCTCTGCTGCTGTGACCCGTCCTGCTCCACCCAGAGACTACTCCACCTCTGCTGCTGTGACCCGTCCTGCTCCACCCAGAGACTACTCCACCTGCTGCTGTGGCCTGTCCTGCTCCACCCAGAGGCTACTCCACCTCTGCTGCTGTGACCCGTCCTGCTCCACCCAGAGGCTACTCCACCTCTGCTGCTGTGGCCTGTCCTGCTCCACCCAGAGGCTACTCCACCTCTGCTGCTGTGACCCGTCCTGCTCCACCCAGAGGCTACTCCACCTCTGCTGCTGTGACCCGTCCTGCTCCACCCAGAGGCTACTCCACCTCTGCTGCTGTGACCCGTCCTGCTCCACCCAGAGGCTACTCCACCTCTGCTGCTGTGACCCGTCCTGCTCCACCCAGAGACTACTCCACCTCTGCTGCTGTGACCCGTCCTGCTCCACCCAGAGGCTACTCCACCTCTGCTGCTGCTGTGACCCGTCCTGCTCCACCCAGAGGCTACTCCACCTCTGCTGCTGTGACCCGTCCTGCTCCACCCAGAGGCTACTCCACCTCTGCTGCTGTGACCCGTCCTGCTCCACCCAGAGGCTACTCCACCTCTGCTGCTGTGACCCGTCCTGCTCCACCCAGAGACTACTCCACCTCTGCTGCTGTGACCCGTCCTGCTCCACCCAGAGACTACTCCACCTCTGCTGCTGTGACCCGTCCTGCTCCACCCAGAGACTACTCCACCTCTGCTGCTGTGACCCGTCCTGCTCCACCCAGAGACTACTCCACCTGCTGCTGTGGCCTGTCCTGCTCCACCCAGAGGCTACTCCACCTCTGCTGCTGTGACCCGTCCTGCTCCACCCAGAGGCTACTCCACCTCTGCTGCTGTGGCCTGTCCTGCTCCACCCAGAGGCTACTCCACCTCTGCTGCTGTGACCTGTCCTGCTCCACCCAGAGACTACTCCACCTCTGCTGCTGTGACCTGTCCTGCTCCACCCAGAGGCTACTCCACCTCTGCTGCTGTGACCCGTCCTGCTCCACCCAGAGACTACTCCACCTCTGCTGCTGTGACCTGTCCTGCTCCACCCAGAGGCTACTCCACCTCTGCTGCTGTGACCCGTCCTGCTCCACCCAGAGACTACTCCACCTCTGCTGCTGTGACCCGTCCTGCTCCACCCAGAGACTACTCCACCTCTGCTGCTGTGACCCGTCCTGCTCCACCCAGAGACTACTCCACCTGCTGCTGTGGCCTGTCCTGCTCCACCCAGAGGCTACTCCACCTCTGCTGCTGTGACCCGTCCTGCTCCACCCAGAGGCTACTCCACCTCTGCTGCTGTGGCCTGTCCTGCTCCACCCAGAGGCTACTCCACCTCTGCTGCTGTGACCTGTCCTGCTCCACCCAGAGACTACTCCACCTCTGCTGCTGTGACCTGTCCTGCTCCACCCAGAGGCTACTCCACCTCTGCTGCTGTGACCCGTCCTGCTCCACCCAGAGACTACTCCACCTCTGCTGCTGTGACCTGTCCTGCTCCACCCAGAGGCTACTCCACCTCTGCTGCTGTGACCTGAAGGGATGTTGCTGATTATTACTATTGTTAGCTTTTTAGAATGATTAATTTTATTTTCTATTTTTGCTACCATTTCACACGTGAATTTCTCCTACGGGGATCAATAAAGTATCTATCTATCTAGACGTAGTGAATTGTGAGTTGTGATGGTTAACAAGTGGTTTAGGAGGTTTTGTTTTATGGCAAGAAGGGATTTGGGAATGTTTGTCAGCGTGACGCTCTGTTTATTATGAAGACAGTGTTTGACCATCTCCTTTGATGTGACTGTTTCTCTTATCATGTGGAAGAAGTCCCCTTGAATGGGGGCAATGTCCTCCTCCTGCATCCTCTGCCCCTGTCCTTTCTAACCCCCCTTGCTCCTCTCCCCTTCCTGACTCTTTGATTGAGTTACCTATATTGATGTGATCAGTGTGGAGAATAGACTTTAAAACAGCTCTGCTTGTTACAAGTCTCTCCATGGCCTCGCACCAAAATATATTAGTGACATGTTAGTCCCATATGAACCAGCCCGGACTCTGAGGAGCACAGGGACTGGACTCCTGCTGGGACTCTGAGGAGCACAGGGACTGGACTCCTGCTGGGACTCTGAGGAGCACAGGGACTGGACTCCTGCTGGGACTCTGAGGAGCACAGGGACTGGACTCCTGTTAGTGCCCAGAGTCAGAACTAAACATGGGGAGGCTGCTTTTCAGATTCATGCTGCTAAAATCTGGAACAGTCTTCCTGAAGATGTGAGACAGGCCTCCTCTCTGACAATGTTTAAAACCAGGTTAAAGACAGTTCTGTTTAGCTGTGCTACAACTGAGGGATTTTATATTTGTATCTTTCTTTTTAATTTTCTCTGATTATTTATGATTTTAATGCTTTCTTATTTTGTTCAGCACTTAGAGTTGCATTGTTTATGAATTGTGCTATACAAATAAACTTGCCTTGCCTTGCCTTGAGGTGTGACATGTGTTTTTACCACAAGGTCTGTAAAATTAGGGCACAATGTTCATAACGTGATAAAATCTCAAAGAAGATGCTTTGACATAGTATATATTTCTGATATACCTGTTTTTATTCCCCAGACATCAACCAACAAAACAGGATCAACAAAGAGGAAACGTTGCTCGGCCGACGAGCTGAAGCATGTGTAGGTATTCTTTTCTATAGGGATGCACTGATACCACATTTTTCTAAACCGATACGAGTACGGGTACCATAATTTGAGTACGTGCACATAGACTGTAATTATTCATGAATTGTGCCGCTAGTACTCATACCATTGGACACAGGAATTGCGTCCAATGGTATGAGTACGAGTACAAGCCGATGGTGTCGACCCAATACCAGTACCGGTGCATCCCTACTTTTATACATTTAATTCCGTCATTTAATTCTCTATTGTAATTGTATTCTTCTTTTATCACTTGTAGCAAAGTGCAGAAAACCAAAGATGACACCAGATCCAGCAAAGATGAGCGAAGAAAACGTGAAATTAAAAAGCCTGTGTCTAGGCTTGAAAAAGCCAAATCCACAAGAGGAGATTCCCCCATTTTTAAAGAAGAAACAAAAAGTAGTAAAAAATATGAATCAAAGTCATCCAGAGACAGTTCTGTTAAAAGCTACTTACAGGATAAGCCAACGGCGAAAAGCAATGTTTCAAAGTCATCCAAAGACCGTTCTAATAAAGCTTATTCACAAGAGAAGCCTCCAACTCCGGAAAGAGATGTTTCTAAGTCATCCGCAGACCGCTTTACTAAAACACATTCACAAGATAAGCCTCCAACTCCGGAAAGAGATGTTTCCAAGTCATCCGCAGACCGCTTTACTAAAACACATTCACAAGATAAGCCTCCAACTCCGGAAAGAGATGTTTCCAAGTCATCCAAAAAACGTTCTACTAAAACTAAGGCACAAGATTGGACCCCAACACAGAAAAACAAGGCTTTTAAGTCATCCAAAGAACGTTCTACTAAAACAAATGCACAAGAAGAGCCCCCAACTCCAAAAAGGGACATTTTTATTCCAAGGTTAATTTCTATCGCTCAGAAACTGGACGATCAGAAAAAACTAACAAGAAAGACACGGTGGGATGTCCCTGCTAAAACAGAAGAAAACCCCTTGTTGGTTCCCAGAGATGCACCTGGGACTAAGACAACTGAGCTGTCGGCACATAATCAGCCCAGCCATGAACATTTAAAGACCGAATTACAAAGTCACACACCTGCTGTTACTGCACCAGTGGATGCAGACACAAACCTAAAAACTAGTGAAACATTGGTAGCAAATCAAAGCAAGACCCTGAAAGAAGGTTCAGTTTTACCTGAGCGCCTGCCTATAAAATTTGTGGTAAAAAAACAACCTGTTTCTCAATTGGCCAGGGCAGAAGATGCTGAGCGACAAGTTTCAAAGAATTCATATTTTCGCAACAGCTTTTTGCCTGTGTGTGAGGCGGACTCTTCGACAAGTCAAAGACCTGAAGTTCTTTCAAACGTCGCTTTGAAAGGCAGAATTGTTGACCAGGGAAAGCCAGTCTCCATAGAAAGTGATCATAAAACCCCACACAAAGAACCAGCATTGTGCAAATCGGCTTCCAACGTAATTTGTAAAGGGAAAACTAGTCGTAAAAAGATGGCTATGGTGTTACCAGCCCAGCAGCGAAAGATTTTGAATGAAAGCAATGTAGTCCGCCCTCTTTCCAATTTTAAAATCCCGAAAAGGACAACTTCAGGTGAAGACTATACAACTTCTACCATAGAGAGTGAGCATAGAACTTCTTCAATCTCTTCTGTGATAACCCAATCCCAGCAATCCAGCAGCACGACTATATCCCCTTATCAAATTCTTCCAAACCTTGATACCTGGACATCTTCTGAGACTGCCCCTTCGTATTCGTCATATGATCAGGTAATCACAATGTTGCATCTATCTTCCAAGCTCTGGTATTATCAGTGCATATTTGGTCACAGTTGTTGCTTAAGCATCAAGCATTTGCTCAACACGAGATTAGAGAATCAAACAATTAAAACACAGATTATCATGGATTTTATTACATGGTTATTTTGTGGTTTTAAAATGAGGTACTTCAGCTTTAGTAATAGCAATAATGTCTTTTCCTTTGAATCCAGATGCAGGTGGTAGAGGAGCTGCAGCAGGCGCGCTCTGAAAGGCTGCTACAAGTGGACGTGATGCAGACCTGTGGGGAACTCACCAGTATGGAGATCGACCCGCCGGACTGTAGAGCCACTGATACTGAATGTAAAAGCCTGAATGTTAATGCATATGTTATAATAACAAATAACAAGTGTGTCTCTGTGAAGGTAAAGGACCATCTCAGCAAGACGTCATCATAGTTCTGGACACAAACATCCTCCTCAGTCACTTAACTTATGTGAAAGACATCGTGACTTGTGGTCTAAAAGGTAAGGTAATAAAAAGTCTGTTTTTATTTGATTTTGATGTAAAAGGCTGTGTATTGAGACGATAATATCGCTATTGTTGTTTTTAGTGCGGGAGGATTTATATTAAATTTTTTGTATTTGTTTAGTTGATTAAGAAAATGCTGTAATGGTCTTATTTTTTCAATTACAAGTATTTCTACATAAAAACTGTAAAATTAGATCCCACAATTCACATGTTGACTTTATTGTTTTTCATTGAATTTAGGTTAAATCTTTGGGTCAAATGCATGACTATTTTTAGAGCCATATCAGGCGTGTTCACAGTTGCATATTAAAATGCATATTACAAAGCTTTATAAATACATGGCATTAGGATCCTCAAAACAGCTGTCCAGGATTCTGTCACTAAGCAGGAGACGACCATGAGAACAACTTTCAAGAAGCATTTCTCTGTATTTGTAATGTCATAAAGAAAGGAACAGTAGAGGTCAAAGACAGGTGGGCAAGACCGTCTTTGACAGTAGACCTCTATCGGGAGATATAGTATTTTGAGAAAAGTATCGGGAGATATAGTATTTTGAGAAAAGTATCGGGAGATATAGTATTTTGAGAAAAGTATTGGGAGATATAGTATTTTGAGAAAAGTATTGGGAGATATAGTATTTTGAGAAAAGTATTGGGAGATATAGCAAGCCGATTGTTACAATAGACCAGCCATTCCCAAACTCAGTAACACCGAGGCCCCCTTAAAAATCTGACGGGTCTGCGTGGCCCCCCAAAATAATAACCAAGAAGACAACATTAAGAATAGGCTCTTCTGGTTATTTTATTTTGGGGAAATAGCCTCTGCTACAAACATTGTAATACACAAATGATTACAGTGGATTATTCAAGTCAAATAATGAACACAAATATTTTAATATTACAAACAAAACATTATAAATTTAACATTAAATAATTATATTATTTTTTTTATGACCTCCCGCGGCCCCCCTGCAGTACCCTCGCGGCCCACCAGGGGGCCGCGGACCCCACTTTGGGAGACACTGCAATAGACAGATAACAAAGACGGGATAACCAACTTTTAATCCACAACAAAATCTATTTAATCTCTCTCGAAACAGTTTGGCTGTGTCCTTAGTTTTCAAATGTCACATCTTTTAGATCAGTTTTTTCAGACAGAAAAATGACTCACAGAGTAACACCCTCAATCAGCTCTCAAACCATAGATGAAAATGTCATGGTCTGATTTGTTCAACGTTTGACTTTAAGATAAGATAAACCTTTATTAGTCTCACAGTGGAGAAACTTCAGTGTCATCGTTGCACACATTACAGCAGAGAAAGGAAATAAGAGCACTCAGACGCACACATAAAAGTCTATTATTTAAGATAATAGACAATAAAATTTAAGATAAGAATAAAATAAAAAATGAGATAAACTCTGGGGATATAATTGCACTTGGTTCGGAAGTATTTACAGATGTCTATATTATACATTAGCCGCGGAGAATATGAGAATATAAATATGAGCAGAATAAACACCAGAAATAATAATATCAACAGGTAAAATGACTTGAATGGGAGAATTATCAGATGGATATGAATAATACAGTAAAATATCAACAGTTAAAACCAGACAAACAACGAGAACAAAAGTTCCCAGGTACCCAAGCTATAATTTCTCTGGCCTTTCATAGACCATGTCATATTTGTTCCTATACACATATAGTCATACACCATATACCATATAGTCTGGTGAGCATGTTTCAGCACTGATGCGTCTCCCGTCCCTCCAGGTGGAGGTCTTCCAGTCGTGCTCATCCCCTGGGTGGTGCTTCAGGAGCTGGACTGCCTGAAGAAGAAGCAGGCTCTGGCACAACAGGCTGTAAAGGCCATCTCCTACATCAACACCTCCCTGAGAAACAGAGAGAGGCGTGTGTGGGGCCAGTCTATTCAGCAGGCAACGGAGAGCAGCTGTGAGTCATCCTAACATGTATATTTCAGTGTTGCAACCTACAGTGCAAGAACCGTAACTGTAGAACTCAAAACTACGTTAATGGCTGTATATATTTAGGTACTTAAAGTTAAATATGTATTTACACTATAGAATTACAAACAGCCCACACAGAATAAGCTCACTGTGCAAAAGAAAAACAAACAGGTTCCGACGACTATGAATAATACTTTTAATATTTAAAGTGGAAAAAGACAGTATTTAGTCAACCACCGCAGGTCCTCCCACTGTCATTATTAATCATAGGTATTTCTCAACTATTAGAGACAACATGAGAATTTTTTTTATAATTTTGCAACTTAGGGGGGGAAGAAATTATGGTAGAAAATAAGTATTTAGTTAATAACACAAGTCCATGTCAATACTTTGTTTATACTCTTTTTGACAATGTCAAACATTATCTGTATGTTTTCATAAGGTTTTCACACACAGTTACGAGGCCACTCTTTTGTTGCCCGGTGTCATGGGGAAAGACCCGGCCCACTTTCATCTTCAAAGCCATTGCTGATTCAAGGAGGTTTTTACCAATGATAAAGTCAATGTACTCATAGAATCCGTCAGGGCATTATTTCATTCTTGACATTATTCATAATTATCTGTTATGTATTATGAAGCTAATTATCAATTAATCGACCAATCAAATAGTACTTATAAAGACATTTTAAATTATAAGTGCTTTTCAGTTTGTTAAAACAATGCCACATGCACGATGTCGACCCAACATCACTTGAACAGAGTAAATGGAAGATCCTGGTAACTGTCAACATTCCTGTCTAGATTTAGAGCTGATTTCTGGGGCAATCCACATGAGTCACAAAGTTCCACATCTTTTCTGTTGGTACCTATGGTCTAATTAGTGTCACATAAACATAGGTACAAAACATTATGCATGATGTTGACCAGTAGAAAGGAATTTCAGACATAACAATAATAATATGGTGGTTTTGTGAATCTAATTACTACCAAATAATAATCAGAGAAAACAATTTGGACATTTCTTTCAAAAATGACTTCTTTCACATTTTATTTGGCCCGGTCTGAAATACTGAAATACAATTCTGCGATAAGGATGAAACTTACTGTGTGTGCTTCTTATCACATGTTCATTATCCTTAAACACGACAGTTCTTTATATCAGACACTAGGTGGCACCATTCCACTGTGTGTACTTGTCCTGGAAACGGCTTCTAAGCTTTGGTCAACAATTTCCATTTCAGTGAAATATTTCTTGTTCTTGATCCATTTGCAATTATTGTCACAGTCATTATAAAACCAAAAACAACAAAGTCATATTATTCAGTCTAGAAATGTGTAATTCTATTATAAAAGCTTGTCAGAAATAACAGATTTATTGTTATCATTTAATAATGACTTTCTTTCCCACTGTTTGTTTGAACAACCCCTGAACAATTATTCTACTGATGTTTGATTTTATATTTAAAAAGTCAAACTTTGTTCAGAGTAAAAATAAAAACTTACCTATGGTCCGTGTACTTTTGCGTTCAATACATTTTCTATTTTTGAAGGAAAATGGAAAATTTTAAAAAGGCTATTTTGCATTTTCAGGCACACGGCAATATACAAAAATGACCATTTTGGTTTTTTTCACTGCTTATAAGACATATATATATATAATAATAACCCAATTTGGGAACTAGACAATGCAATAATTAACCTTTTTTATTAGCATTTAATATATTTCGGCATAAATCGATTACCCACAAGTGAAACAAGTTTGTTTACTTCAGCCCGAGTCACATCTGACCACAGCAGCCACAGAGACAACACATTTTACTGCTCTACAGTTCTCTGGCCCGTACTTTCTGTAATGTTTAACCAATACTGTTTGTACGGATTACCCGTGAACGCACCACATACTCTGCTGACAAACGTGTGAGCCGACAAATAGTAACGGTCGAATCAACATGTCTGTTTTATGACCGAGTGCACAGTAACGAACGAATGCAACCCATCGGTCTGATCATGGTGTGCCAGTGAACACATTACACTGTGACTGTCCTCTGCACTTCTCCACAGACCTCACAGACATTTAGTGTCAGTGAACACATTACACTGTGACTGTCCTCTGCACTTCTCCACAGACCTCACAGACATTTAGTGTCAGTGAATACATTACACTGTGACTGTCCTCTGCACTTCTCCACAGACCTCACAGACATTTAGTGTCAGTGAACACATTACACTGTGACTGTCCTCTGCACTTCTCCACAGACCTCACAGAGACATTTAGTGTCAGTGAACACATTACACTGTCCTCTTCTCCACAGACCTCACAGAGACATTTAGTGTCAGTGAACACATTACACTGTCCTCTTCTCCACAGACCTCACAGAGACATTTAGTGTCAGTGAACACATTACACTGTCCTCTTCTCCACAGACCTCACAAGACATTTAGTGTCAGTGAACACATTACACTGTCCTCTTCTCCACAGACCTCACAGACATTTAGTGTCAGTGAACACATTACACTGTCCTCTTCTCCACAGACCTCACAGACATTTAGTGTCAGTGAACACATTACACTGTCCTCTTCTCCACAGACCTCACAGAGACATTTAGTGTCAGTGAACACATTACACTGTCCTCTTCTCCACAGACCTCACAGAGACATTTAGTGTCAGTGAACACATTACACTGTCCTCTTCTCCACAGACCTCACAGAGACAGCAGCAGCCGCGACTCTGCAGCTGTGTACACAGCCGGGATCCACGACTCCTCTGCTCACTGACAAAAACAAGGCAGAAAGTAAAGAGAAAGGGGCAATAGCGATCACAGTCACTGACATGCGGGTTCTCACGTGATAAGTATCATCACAGTCTGTGTTTGGACAAATACAGGAGGTCATTTGCAGCGTAATTATTACTAAACAAATTACAGACATGGTGCAGTCGCACTGGACAGATCTCAGACGTGATTATCACAAATTACCAGGAGTGCTCACAGGTTATACTAACCCCGTGCGAATAGGGCTGAAGTAAACACACTTGTTTCAGTTCCGGGTAATCGATTGATGCCGAAATGTATTAAATACTTAATAAAAAAGGTTAATTATTGCATTTTCTAGTTCCCAAATCCGGTTATTATGATACATATGTCTTATAAGTAGTGAAAAAAACCAAAATGGTAATTTTTGTATATTGCTGTGTGCCTGAAAATGCAAAATAGCCTTTTTTGATTTTCCATTTCCCTTCAAAAATAGAAAATGTATTGAACGCAAAAGTACACGGACCACCTATGATACATTTCATATTTCAGATTAAAAATTACTTTACTTATTACAATTATTATTTACAATATTTTAGTAGTTGTAAAAGATTGAAGGTGAATGTTTTACTTGTACCATATAAATATTAACAACTGTTATAGTGCAACCAATTTTTCAAACGCTAGCTTGTGTTAAATTGTTTTTTTCTCACAAAATTCTCAGTTAGACCTGAGTTATGCAACACATTTTGACATTTTATTTATATGAGAAAATGGATTGAGAAAATAATGCTTGGACCAAAGATACGATACAGAATACTTGAAAGCAATAATTATTGTATCTCATTTAATAAATTAGTTTTATTTAGTTATTATGATAATTACTGCATTGCATTTCTGCTTCCCCCTTTCCCCCTTCGCAGTGTCCTCCAAAACCGAGAACAATGACGACCGCGTTCTCCGGTGCTGTCTGCAGTACCAGCGCCTGCACCAAGGGGTCGCTGTGGTCCTTTGCACGTGAGTCTCCTGGCCTCCCCTATCCCCTCCCCCCTTCTCCTCTCTGTTCTGCTGCTGCTGCAAACCTGCGTGTCCTCTGAAAGCATGACGCATGTGACCGCAGCCAGATAGTTCCAGTTGGAGAAGCATAACAGCCAGACACTGTCATTGGGACTGAATGGACATGCTGAACAAGGGCATTTCTCCAGATCACAATGGCGCGATTTTGTTCTATCGCTTTTTTTCTTTCTCTGTGACCCATTTTTTTAGCCACCACAGGATTCCAGACACTATTCAATCAGTAAATAAGATTCTATAGCTATAATATGGTATTTAGTGCTGACCAAAGAAAAGTTGTTTTGAAAGTCCATTCAAAAATGTATGCAAAAAAGTTTTCCAGATAATAAAATACCAAATATATACCAAATAACACACATAAGAACAACAACACAAGAACAAGAAAAAGATCTTCCACAGACTCGCCCAAGCTGCAATTTGGGTCTTTGGAGAATACAAAATTAAGAATCACTATTTGTCATAATTACTTTACAATTTTTATTTTTTTTTTCTTGATTTAAACTGGATCTAAACTTAAGGTATAGAGTTAAAGAATGTTCATACTGTGTTGAAATTAATTTGGGGAAAACAGTGGAATTCAACGTATTCTTGTATAGCCCTAAATCACAACATTCGTTTTCTCAGAGGACTTAACAAAAACGTTGAAATTGCCAACACAGATCAGAGAATCAAACAGTTCAGACACAAAACATGTTGAACACATGTATTGGTCCATATGGGGAGTTGGCCAATGTCCTTGAAGGTTGATAAATGTCCATAAATGTTGTAGAATATTAGCGTGTCTTGGGTCATTACCACAATCCTTTTTGTTAGACACTGTCTAACCTCCTGCATCTGCAAATGAGAACCTCGGGGAGGTCCACATTAAGAGAGGGATCCGCTCCACACGGACGGGCGGGACATAGATCCAGGACCTAAGCTACTGAACGAGGACCAAGGCCACGCAGCGGTTGTAGAACGAGGTCAGGTCCGGTGCAAGACTGAAGCAGCTCCCAGGCGGTTTGGGCAGGGCAGTCCACAGGTGCAGATGAAACAGACAATGAAACAACGAATGAATAGCAATGAATAGACTACAGTCAAAATCCTAATAATGCTAAACAGATAAAGTAGGAAGGAGAGGAGGACAGTGCTCAAGTTACCATACTTCTCCCAGCAAACTGACTGAGAATCTAAGATTTATAGTCTTCCCTTAGTCTTAGCTACCTAACCATATGCTAAACTGAAGAGGACTGTTTTAAGCCTGGCCTTGTATGTAGAGACTGTGTCTGCTTCCTTAATGTGGATGGGAAGCTGATTCCACAGTAAAGGTGTTTAAGGATTTCAAATGTTATTGTATGTATTATATGATGTTCTCCCTGTCTGGTACCTGTTAAGATCCTTGCAGCTGTATTTTAAACGGGCTGAAAGCCCTTAAAGAGAATTTAGGGCATGCTGCCAGCAAAGTGTTACAGTAGTCAAGCCTTGAGGTGACTAAAGCATGGATTAGCTTTTCTGCGTCACTTTAAGGAAGGATATTCCTGATTTTAGCGATGTTATGCAGGCGGAAATATGCTGTTTTAGTTGCTTGGTATATGCAGAGAGTTCTTTTCAATTTATGACACTTAGGACCGAGTATATAGTTAAGAGTCGTCTTTAGGTCTTTTATGTAGGCACTAAGCCTTTCTAACTGATCTGTCTGGTTTGGTTTCATCGACAGGTAAGGCTGTGTGTCATCTGCATAGCAGTGGAAGTTAATACCAAGCTTTTTCATGATGTTGCCTAACGGCAGCATTTAGGGTATGAAAAGAATCAGCCCGAGTACCGATCCTAGTGGCACAAAATTTACTTTAGAATAAGGTGACAAGTATTGATTCACATGACAAAGTGATACTGATCCGATAAATAAACCAGCCAAAGGCTGTTCCTCTAAGACCTATATCACATTCTAGCCTCTGCAGTAGAATGCTGTGGTCTATTGTGTCAAATGCAGCACTAAGGTCCAGTAGGACCAGCACTGACACTGTCTAGTGCTGTTGCATTGCTATGATGAGCTCTAAATCCTGATTGAAAGATTTCAAACATATTATTTTCTGCAGGTGGCAGCATAGTTGTTTAGCAATACAACTTTCAAGGATTTAGATATAAAGTAAGATTTGAGATTGGTCTGTAGTTTGTAACTAGTTCAAGGTTTGTTTTATTTTTCAGAAGAGGTTTGGTTATTACAGTTTTAAAAGCTTGGGGGGACACTTTGTATAGATGTATTTATTATATTTAAGATAGGCTCTATTATTAAAGGAAGTGTGTCTTTGAAGAGCCTAGCTGGGATTTAAATCTAAAGTCACAGGGTGCACCTAGGACCAAAGGGAATCACATTATAATGGATTATGGCAAGTTTATGATCCATGCGAATGTTCCCACTGAACACGCCTTGAATACTATCAACAATTTAACCAAACTTTTAACAATTAATGACCAGATCCTTACAGCCATAATCAAGTTCATCAAATACCTATTGTATTTCTTTTGTGTCAAATTTGGATTAAACCAATCTGCCTTAATGCGTCCTCCTGTATCTGCTCTAGGAACGATAAGAACTTGTGCAGCAAAGCTCTGTTGAGTGGAGTGAAGGCCTTCAGCAAAGAGGACCTAGAGAATGAGCTGACCAGCTCCAGCCCGTGCTCTTCTCCCCCACAGAACCCTCAGACCTCTACCTCAACAGCCAAAGCCTACCACAGTCAAGAAGTAACAAGCCACTCACTGGAGAAAGGTGAGCCAGGGAGAATACATCATCAAAGCAGGAGCATTTGGGTTTGGTTTAAAGGGGAAATAACGTTCTAAATCAAAAGCTTTAGAGCTTTAGAGACTGTAAGTAGTTATTTCAAGACAAAACAAGCAAGACTCTCTGACCTCCCTCCCATTACTCATCTATAATCACTTGTCATTTACATACTCAAGTTGTTTTCAGATAAGTCAGTTAAATTCTGCTGAAGCAAGCACACTTTGTGTTTTATAACACTGTTTTAGATCAATATTGAGATTTCTAATGTGAAAAATATTTAATAATCTACCCCTGGTTTTGAAGTGGATCACTTCTCCCGTAGGCCCTACATGTACCTGCAGCAGTTGTGTAACCATCCATCCATCCATTTTCTACCCTTTAATCCATGTCTGGGTCAGGGGGGTGGCAGTCAGAGATGCCACCCAAGTCTCATAGCACCAGCCCCTCACTGACCCTCTGCAGGTGGTGAGTCCACAGGAGGACGGCTGCTCTCTGAGTGTGAGCATAGCCTTGATCTTTCAGTGGGGGCTTTGGGCGAAGTGGGGTTAAGTGTCTTGCCCAAGGACACAACGACAGCAGACATCAGTGGGAGTCGTGTGTAACCGTACACACTTTAAATACATATTAACTACATGTGGAAAACTAGGCCCAAAGACACAGCAAGGTGGTAAATTATTTTGTGAAGAATGAGTGTGGTACGGCAGCAACTGAAGGTCGTGGGTTCGAGCCCACCGTAAGACCTACTTCACAACTCCCACTGAGTTGCTGTCGTTGTGTCCTTGGGCAAGACACTTAACCCCGCTTTGCCTGAAGCCCCCACTGAAAGATCAAGGCTCCTGTGGACTCAGCACTTGCAGGAGGATCAGTGAGGGGCTGGTGCTCTGTGACTGGGTACAGCTCTGACTGCCACCCCCGACCCAGAAATGGATTAAGGGGAAGAAAATGGATGGATAAATCATTGTACATGATTGTTTATTGTACAGGATAACGCACTTTTTATAAGATAAGATGAACCTTTATTAGTCTCACAGTGGAGAAATGTCAGTGTCATTGTTGCGCATATTATATCCTTTATTCTTAATAATTGAACCAGTTTTGCTATTCATTAAAAGTAAATAAGTTTCTATCACACGGCTCAGACACGCATGGAGTTACCAAATTTTGATATGGCTGTGGGGAAGAACTTTTTTTTTTGAAGCAGCACTTATCAAGGAAGCCGCAAATAGGCATCTTTTTCTCAACTGAATTAATTTTAAAGCCAAATAATTTTACTAGCCATATGCATCTATTATTTTGTTCTACTGTTGTTCAATAATATGCTCAATAGCAATATGGATTTACATACAGCTGTCAGAAAGGCCATTCATTTTAAACATGCAATAGTTTGGTGTCTCAATTACTGCTATATTTGGCTGTGGTCAATGTGAATGGAAAGGGCGATACACTGACTTTTGTACCTTTTGTACTTTTTGGTCATGCATTTTGTTAATTAGGAACCCTGCACTAAGAAAATGAAATCATGTTTAGTCTTATTGAACTTTCTGAAAATAGATCCATTATTTTATTTGACAATGATTTGATATAGTAACTATTGTGACAGGCCTACTTGGTATGTATGTTTATATGAAGAAAGACAAAGTGCATGATCTCAGAGGTGTCCAAACCGGTCCAGAAAGGTTTTCTATCAGACCCAGCAGGAGCAGAGCAGACTCCTCCCATTTCCTCAAGTAAGCCCTGTCCCAATTCTCACCCTTGCCCTTAAAAAGCACACTTGCCCTAGATTTTAACCTGAAGATTTGAGGAAATGGGTGGAGTCTGCTCTGCTCCTGCTGGGTCTGATAGAAAACCTTTCTGGACCGGTTTGGACACCTCTGATCTAAGTGATTTCATTCTGTGCCTGCGCCTTCATACTTTTGCCCCTGCTTCTATACGTAAAAAGTGACCTCTATGTTGTTTTGTTTCTGCAGAAAGGGACAGGCAAAACAAAAACCTTGAGACTCAGAGGCACCTGAGCGGCCTGGTGCATGATCTGAAGAGCTGCCTGCAGATGGCGTTGTCTGATGTGTTGGAAGCAGAGATGAAGGCTGCCTTCAGTGACATGTGGTTGGAGGTAAACACGTGCTCTGGGAAAGCATGTTCGTCTCCTCTCTGCAATAGAGCCACAAGATATGTTGTCCTTGAAATCAACATTTGAGCTGACACTGAGAAAATCACAAGGACTGAAAACAATTCTTGCATCATTTCCCATACGAACATGTAATCTTACACATATCCTTTATTTTCCACCCCCAGAAACGGGCTAAGAAAAACCAAGAAGCACAAAAAAAGGGTAGTGTAGTCTAGATTCTGCATCTTGCCACTCTGCCCCGCCACTATTAGCTGTAATTGGGGGTGCATTTAATTAATATATATTAATGTATTCAGAGTCAGTTTCTCCTTTTGTAGAGATAAAATACAGGAAAACAGTGGCGCAGTGGTTCACAGTTCGATTCCACCCCAGGACCTGGGGGTTTCCATGTTCTCCCTGTGTCTGTATAAGTTTCCTTATCCAAATAAACAAATACATTCAAAATACAAAAAACCTGATTTGAGGTGAGATAAAAAGCGTTCTCTGATTCTTAACCCGCGGCCCATTATATATTTACACTGTTTATGTTTAGTTGGACTGCCACCTTAACGTGGTGGGGGAGTTTGAGTACTCGGATGATCCTGGGAGCTATGCTGTCTGGGGCTTCATGCCCCTGGTAGGGTCTCCCATGGCAGACAGGTCTCAGGTGACGAGTCAGACGAAGAGCAGTCAGAAGCCAACATGGACAGCACGAAAAGAAGAACCGTGACGTCGCCCGGCATGGCGCAGCCGGGGCCCCACCCTGGAGCCAGGCCTGGGGTCGGGGCTCGAATGCGAGCGCCTGGTGGCCGGGCCTTAGCCCACGGGGCCCGGCCGGGCTCAGCCCGAAAGGACGACGTGGGCAGTGATGGGCAGTAGCGTCGCTACTAGCTTAACTAAATTTTTTCAGTAGCTTGACAGTAGCGTCACTATTTACAAAACCTAGTAACTTTTCTGTAGCTAAGCTATATTATTGCTCAAGTAGCGCGGTAGCGTCCGCCAAAGCTATTTTCTCACGGACATCTCTGATGTTCATATATTACAGCATTTTCCCGCAGCATAAAACAAACATAGAAAGACAGAATGCTGATGCGCATGCGCAGGGCTTGGTAACGACACACACACACACGAACGTACGCGCACACACACACGCACACACATGCGCCCGCGCTACTGGGGGAAGCAAAAGCATGGCAGAGAGCCCAGGAGCCGCCGCGGTGGATCACAGGATAAGGACTCTCAAAGTGTTGTACCGTGGCCATACCTCCAAAAGTACGTCGCTCTAGTCGAGATGAGCGAAAAGAAATATGTTTTCAGATGCCTACTCTTTGGTGTTTTTGGTGTTTTGGGCTATTGTTCAATAAATATCTACAACATTTTAACCTTTATCTGACTGACAGTTTATCTCAAATAAGAAGATAAGCTTTATTAATCTCACACAGGAGAAATTTACATTTACACATTTGGCATGGATAAAACACTCAAGAATTGTGCAAAAAATAAGAAATGAGCAAACATGTTAATGCAGGAAAATATAAAATTGCATGAACTGCAGTTTGTTTAATTGAAAATAGCTTCTATATAGCAAGCTACTTTTGACAGAATTGTGTAACTTAGCTTGCTACATTTGTATGGGTGGTAGCTTCTGTGTAGTGAAGCTGAACTTATTGTAGAGTAGCTTGTAGCTTAGCTCACAACACAAATCAAGTAGCTTGCCCATCACTGGACGTGGGCAGTCCCTCCTGTGGGCCCACCACCCGCAGAGGGGTCCGTGGCGGCTCGGTGCAGAGAGGACTGGGCAGCAGTCGAAGGCGGAGACCTCGGCGACCCAGTCCGCACACCCAACATCTGGCTCTTGGGACGTGGAACGTCACCTCACTGGGGGGGAAGGAGCCCGAGCTTGTGGGGGAGGTCGAGAGGTACCGACTAGAGATAGTCGGCCTCACCTCCACACACAGCTTGGGCTCTGGAACCCAACTCCTTGAGAGGGGTTGGACGCTCCACTTTTCTGGTGTTTCTCGCGGGGAGAGGCGGCGAGCTGGGGTGGCCATACTCATTGCCCCCCATCTCAGCCGCCACGTGTTGGAGTTCTCCCCGGTGAATGAGAGGGTCGCGTCCCTCCGCCTTCGGGTGGGGGACAAGTCTCTCACTGTTGTGACGGCCTACGGGCCTAACAGCAGTGCAGAGTACTCGGCCTTCTCGGAGTCCTTGGGAGGGGTACTGGACGGTGCACCGCCCGGGGACTCCGTCATTCTCCTGGGGGACTTTAACGCCCATGTGGGAAGCGCCAGTGACACTTGGAGAGGGGTGATCGGGAAGAATGGCCCCCCTGATCTGAACCCGAGTGGTGTTCAGTTGTTGGACTTCTGTGCTAGTCACGGTTTGTCCATCACGAACACCATGTTCCAGCACAAGGGTGTCCACCAGTGCACGTGGCACCAGGACACCCTAGGCCGGAGGTCGATGATCGACTTTGTTGTCGTATCATCTGACCTTCGGCCGCGTGTCTCGGACACTCGGGTAAAGAGAGGGGCGGAGCTGTCAATCGATCACCACCTGGTCGTGAGTTGGATCCGCTGGCAGGGGAAGAAGCCGGTCAGACCTGGCAGACCCAAGCGTGTAGTGAGGGTCTGCTGGGAACGTCTCGCTGAGACCCCTGTCAGACGGACTTTCAACTCACACCTCCGGGAGAGCTTCTCCCAGGTCCCGGCGGAGGAGGGGGATATTGAGTCTGAGTGGACCATGTTCTCTTCCTCTATCGCCGATGCGGCGGCTCGTAGCTGTGGTCGCAAGGTCTCTGGTGCTGGTCCCGGCGGCAACCCCCGAACCCGGTGGTGGACACCGGCAGTAAGGGATGCCGTCAGGCTGAAGAAGGAGTCCTATCGAGCCATGATGGTTCGGGGGACTCCTGAGGCAGCTGTCCAGTACCGGCAGGCCAAGCGTGCCGCGGCCCGGGCTGTTGCAGAGGCAAAAACCCGGGACTGGGAGGAATTCGGAGAGTCCATGGAGCATGACTATCGGTCGGCCTCAAAGAGATTCTGGCAAACTGTCCGGCGCCTCAGGAGGGGGAAGCAGTTCTTTGCCAACACCGTGTACGGTGCGGGGGGTGAGCTGCTGACCTCGACCGGGGATATTGTCGGATGGTGGAAGGAATACTTTGAGGTTCTCCTCAATCCCCCCGTCACGTCCTCCGCTCCGGAGGCAGAGGCTGAGGATGTTGGGGCGGATACTTCTGTCACCCTGGCAGAGGTCACCAAGGTGGTTGGCAGCCTCCTTGGTGGCAAGGCGCCGGGAGTGGATGAGATCCGTCCTGACTATCTAAAGTCTCTGGATGTTGTAGGACTGTCTTGGCTGACACGTCTCTGCAACATCGCGTGGCGATCGGGGGCGGTGCCAATGGAGTGGCAGACCGGGGTGGTGGTCCCTCTCTACAAGAAGGGGGACCGGAGGGTGTGTTCCAATTATCGTGGGATCACACTCCTCAGCCTCCCTGGTAAGGTTTACTCCAAGGTACTGGAGAGGAGGTTACGGCCGATGGTCGAATCTCGGATTCAGGAGGAGCAGTGTGGTTTTGGTCCCGGCCGTGGAACACTGGACCAGCTCTACACTCTCCATCGGATACTCGAGGGTTCATGGGAGTTCGCCCAACCTGTCCACATGTGCTTTGTGGATTTGGAGAAGGCGTTCGACCGTGTTCCCCGGGGTGTCCTTTGGGGGGTCCTCCGTGAGTACGGGGTCCGGGGTCCTCTGCTGAGGGCCGTCCGGTCCCTGTATGACCGGAGCCAGAGCTGTGTTCGCATTGCCGGCAGTAAGTCAGACCTGTTCCCGGTGCATGTTGGCCTCCGCCAGGGCTGCCCTTTGTCACCGGTTCTGTTCACTGTATTCATGGACAGAATTTCTAGGCGCAGCCAAGGGTCGGAGGGGGTCCGGTTTGGGGACCACAGGATTTCATCTCTGCTGTTTGCAGACGATGTTGTCCTGTTGGCTCCAACGAACCAGGACCTACAACATGCACTGGGACGGTTTGCAGCCGAGTGTGAAGCGGCTGGGATGAGAATCAGCACCTCCAAATCTGAGGCCATGGTGCTCGACCGGAAAAGGGTGCCTTGCCCTCTCCGGGTGGGAGGAGAGGCCCTTCCTCAAGTGGAGGAGTTCAAGTATCTCGGGGTCTTGTTCACGAGTGAGGGAAGGATGGAGCGTGAGATTGAAAGGCGGATCGGTGCAGCGTGCGCAGTGATGCGGTCGCTGTATCGGACCGTTGTGGTAAAGAGGGAGCTGAGCCGAAAGGCAAAGCTCTCAATTTACCGGTCAATCTTCGTCCCCTCCCTCACCTATGGTCATGAGCTTTGGGTAATGACCGAAAGAACAAGATCGCGGATACAAGTGGTCGAAATGAGCTTCCTCCGCAGAGTGGCTGGGCGCTCCCTTAGAGATAGGGTGAGGAGCTCAGTCACACGGGAGGAGCTCGGAGTAGAACCGCTGCTACTCCACGTCGAGAGGAACCAGTTGAGGTGGCTCGGGCATCTGTTCCGGATTCCTCCTGGACACCTCCCTGGGGAGGTGTTCCGGGCATGTCCCACCGGGAGGAGGCCCCGGGGAAGACCCAGGACACGCTGGAGGGACTATGTCTCTCAGCTGGCCTGGGAACGCCTTGGAGTCCCCCCGGACGAGCTGGAGGAGGTGTGTGTGGATAGGGAAGTCTGGGCGTCTCTGCTTAGACTGCTGCCCCCGCGACCCGGCAACGGATGAAGCGGAAGAAAATGGATGGATGGATGTTTAGTTGACCTGGATCTTCCCCGGGAGGAGGTCCCGGGGAAGACCCAGGACACGCTGGAGGGACTATGTCTCTCAGCTGGCCTGGGAACGCCTTGGGGTCCCCTCGGACGAGCTAGAGGAATTGTGTGTGGATAGGGAAGTCTGGGCGTCTCTGCTTAGACCGCTGCCCCCGCGACCCGGCAACGGATGAAGCGGAAGAAAATGGATGGATGGATGTTTAGTTGACCAAAAAGAGCAACGTGCACAAAAGCTTCTTCATCGATTAAGTCTTGGGTTTATAAGTTTGGCTGAGATGATGCTGCAGTGGAGAATGACACAGACTTAAGTAAAACAAATACATATTCAGCCTGTAGTTGTAGTTGTAACAGTCTGTGTCTTGTGATCTTGTAGATTGTCTACAGAAAGCCTCCGTGGTCTCTGGATGATGTGCTGCTCTGTATGAAAAAGCACTGGATTGCTGTCTTTGGACATGTGATAACTCGGAACAAGCAGCAGAACGTGCTGAACCTCATTGAATTCTTCTCCTCAGGTAATCACTGGTTTTCACCAGTTATTTAGACACTGCTTTGAGCGCTTTTCCTCTTCTAAGCCAGCACTTAGCAGATGTTTTCATTGCTCTGGAAGCTGTGGTGTCATGGTTTGCCTTGTACAAAATGTTGTATACTTTGAAATGTGCAATTTCAGGATTACATATTCTGCCGTTTAGGCACCTGAACCTTTTCATGTTTTCTGATGTACAGCTAAATGAAAATAATATGACAACAATGAGACTACAGCACCCTCCTCTGGCAGAATAATACTGCACCACTCAATTAAGCACATTCCGGTCTTCATTGTCTTCATTTTAAACACTACATAAACTTACATTGACACGATGTGATGATGCTAATGAGTAAATCCTACTCCCTCTGCCAGAGTTCCAAAACTCTCTTAGTATCGATACAGCAAATCCCTGTAAAGTGTATTGTTGTTTCTACACTGATGTCATCTAATGTAAGAGCTTGTTTGGCCACTGAATCTGCCACCTCATTTTCTGGAACCCCAACATGGGCTGGAACCCACATGAAAGCCACCGTCAGACTTAACTTAATGGCTCTCCTAAGGGCATCCTGAGTATTATAGATTAAATCTGGCCCAACATGTGGCACTGCAGCCTGGAAAGCCAAAAGAGCAGCAGCTGGGTCTAAAAAAAAGTATGCAATATTATGGTCCAATTTTTCCCACCCACTCTAATGCACACAGGAGTGCAATAACTTATGTTGTGAAGACAGAATCATTATAGGGAAGCCTGTAACCCTGACTCACGCCACCCTCACTAATTAGTGTTCACCAATAACCCCTCTTACCACCTTTCCACCTCAGCTTGAAAGAATCACTATACTCTAGTCTACTTCTGGGTCCTGAGGCAGCAAGGAAGGAATGGAGGGCCACAATTCTCTGGGAGCCATAACCAGGCCCAGCTCAGGAGACTGAGACCCTACTCTATACTCAGCGCTTTTATACAACCTGAATTCATACACAGCTGAATCAATGAGCTCAAGTTTTCAATTAAATTACGGATTATAATACAACTTGTATGTAGTAATAAGCATTTTTATGATCTCATTAGAAAATAAATCGGGTATAGCTTCTTTAACAGATTCAGAACCAGGACAAGACTGACAACTTTTAAAAACAGCTCTTAGAGAGAAAGGATATGGACAATTGTTTTGCAGTATACAGTTGTTTTTATATCCTAGTAAAGAACTCCATCCTCATTGATAAAAACATGATATGAAGCCTCTGAAGAAAATCTGCAGGGGTCTGGCGTGGTGTACAGCAGAAGACGTTTATTGATGTTACAAAGAGAGACGTCCAAAGATTTGCTGCGTGCATGACACTGCACCCATGGCTTCGGCCTTTAGATAACCAAATCAGTGAGTCCAACTTTAACCACAGCTGCTTCAAAAGTGTTATAAAATATCCATGCCTCAGCACAGATAAGCTGATGCATCCCTCCATGGCAGGCCTTGTGACAGAATGTGCTTGGAAATGACGTCAAGCCTAGCGTACATCGACAGAGAAACTGGGGACAACTAGTTGCAAGGCGGCTTTTGGCAACTGAGAGGAGATGGTGGGAGATGATCAGTTGCCGAAATCGGTCGATGTGCGCGCTCTTACAACTGGAGATGATCAGTCGGTCTCCAGTTCCAGTCAGTTGCCCGTGTTCTACTTTTCGGCAACTAGTTGTCCTCAGTTTCGAAGATATGACCCGATGTGCGCGCTCCATGCGCCGCTCCAACAACGTGTGTGTATTGCGTGTATTGCGAGCCCGCAACAGTTTGTTGTCAGAAAACACACTGTAGTTGAGGCCAGTTGCTGTCGATGTACGCGCTGTTATTCAAGAGACTGGCCTGCGACTCAGAGTTGCCCGTTTTCGCCAGATTGTCGATGTGTGCGGGGCAGCAACTCAGAGGCGACGGATATAATCAGTTGCCAGTCCGATGTACGCTAGGCTTCAGTAAATCTTTAATTCCAACTCTAGCTTTTTCACCCTTTTCTCCTGCCCGGTCTACAGTGGCCTACAGACTTAGTTAGTCATCCCTGTGGAATAACATGTCTTTCCTTTGGACTGCATTGCCGCACCAGAACCCAACAGAACTAAATCCAGAATGGGGTCAACAGCTTAAACAGGCCACTCAAATGTGTGTCAGAAAAGTGCTGAGTCGCCCTGTGCAGCAGCAGCCTCCCGTCGCCTCCTGTCAGCACATGGTTTAATGGCATTACAACTGGAGAGAGACAGTCTGCATCAGAAGACTTCACCCATCCAGGAACGGCCATTAGCGGGGACAATAGAAGTTTGACAGAAGTATGACTCTGGAGCTCACGGTCTCACTCAGGTTGCCTTTGTGTCTGAGCCGTGAAAGAGAAGGGGAAAGGGAAGAGGGGAGGGGGAAAGGGAAGAGGGGGAAAGGGAAGAGGGGGAGGGATGAACAAAGTGTGAAACAAAACCTCTAGTGGAAAAGTACTGCTTGCTATTTTTGGTGTTGAGGAAGTAACTTTTATAAGGTTTTATTGATACTTACTTCTACTTACTACTAAACCTGTTAGTTGACTTGGTTACTCTCTAAAGAAAGTAACTACTTTACTTTACTTTTGCAATACTTTTGTGTTGTGGAAGTTCTACTATGGAAGTTTTGCTCAATCACACCAACTCTGAGCCTCATACTCGAGTACCTGAGGACACTGCGCCTTCATTCTCATCAAAAGAAAAAAAAGTCAGCCTTACTGGCGCTGCTGTGTCGCACTTTACCTGTTGTGACTGATTCGCAAGCACCAGCAGATGAGTGGTCACAGCTGCCCGTTCATTAGTTTGTGTCAGGGATGAAGCAGACAGACGGATCAGGGTGCGCCAAACTCTGGAAGTTTATTTAAGTTTCTCTCAAGTTCCAGTGGTTTCCATTGTTTCTTTCTCTCAGACAGAATAAAGGCAGTACACAGTTTATATAGTCATTGTCACGTCACACATGGAAAGACGTGTCACACAGAGACAGTCACATCAGAGTCAAAATAATCAGAGTCCTTGTACAGTCCTGCACGTAGGCCATATTGCTATCTAATACTCCCATTTGAAAATGTAATGTTTTGAAGAAGATGGGATCGTGTCTTTAATTCAGACAGAAGACATGTTTTATTGTCAATGGCAGAGACAGCACGAACAAAGATGTTACAGACTGCAAGTGTTAATCTACAGCATGGAGGATTGAACACCGTCCAATCAGCTTTCGCCGCGATGCCAGTAGCTTGGCCTTCAGAAAACAAAAACATGCCGTGGAAAAGTACTAGCTTGTGCATATGTTAGAACTTTACCACAGTTGCTTCAAAGTGTCATGAAATCTCTAAAGTTGTCATGAATGTCATTGTCCTAAACAATTGCTTCTTCCTCAGGTAAATCTGTGACAAAAATCTCCATGTTGGCCGCACTGCATGAATCTCAAGACCTCTTAAATGAATTTGCAACAAAATCAAGCCATGTTGCTGGTGCAATTTGTGTCGTGAAGAACATTCTGAACAGCCTTCAAACTCAGGTGAGTCTATTGTATTTAAGCCACTCTTCAGCTGGGACACAATTGTTAGCACTTAGTCCATACATATGTGGAATCTCTAGTGATTGTATTCATAACTCGTGGATTGCTGTTTTTGTTCTGATGCACATAACTTGCCTGACTCTCGCCAGACTCTTGTAGTTTGCTGCGCTGCACACAAGACTCTGGGTCTGCTTCATAGCGGATGAATTTCAGAAGGTGGGGCCATGAAAAAAAATCCTTGTATGTGATTGGATAAACCACTTGTCTGTTATCTTGAATGACATGTCCCTTCAACCACTCACATCAAAACACACAATTCAGCCAACTGTATTGTAGTGTTCCCAAATGCCGGAAAGGTTTTCCAGCCCAAAACCCGCGAGAATGCCCCAAAAAAAAACACCCACAAGGTAATGCAATCAACTTGGGCTATCATGATTCTGTTTATTGTCTTTCTGTTTATTTATTACCTACAAGTCGCTTGGAAAAAAAGTATGCTGGAAACCACCCAACCTGGCAACCCTGCTGCGTGTTGTGATGAGCACTTTTAAACCAGTACTAAAACCAAACTTAACACGAACATTTGACTCTTAAAACACACATATAACAACATGGAACCATCAACATGGAACCATCAACATGGAACCATCAACATTGAACCATCAACATCTCGCCTCAAATTGCATTAAAAGTGACATCCGTGTCCTAATTCGTTCGTATTTAAACGTTTTATTTTATTTTTATTCACGAACATTATGTTCGCCATCTTGGTTTGATTTGTCAACGTAACACGGGTGATGCTGATTGGCCGATTATTTTTTGATCTCCTGAAGGAGTTTGTAGTGCGCTCGATCCCAGACCCTTGTGTTCAGCGAAACGCCTCTGGTGGAGAATGGTGGAACTACAAGGGTCTGGCGAGAGTCAGGTTACATTGCTTCACATCATATAAAAGGGGAGGCTGCGTTTCAGATCCATGCAGCTAAAATCTGGAACAATCTCCTGAAAATGTGAGAGAGGCGTCTACTCTGTCAATGTTCAAATCCAGGTTAAAGACAGTTCTGTTTGCCTGTGCATACAACTGAAGGATTTTATCTCCATTTCTAATGCACTGTTGTCATTTATTTATTTATTTTTTTTAATTTAAAATTTTAAAATTTTGAAAGTTTTAATGGTTTTAATCTTTTGTGTGATTTTAATGTTTTAATTGTGATTCTGGTGTTTGTTTTATGTGATGATTTGTGTGGACTGTGAAGCGCTTTGTGTTGCCCTGTGTATGAAAGGCGCTCTACAAATAAACTGATTGATTGATTGATTGATAAAAGGTTCTTTTGTTATGTCTAAATAAAACTTGGAAATAACTGCCAGGTTACAAGTGCAGGAGATGTCTGCCTTTTTCTGGTTCTTCGACACATCCTTGTGTTTGTGAATGGCTTTTCCCGATTATCCATGATTCAAACTGCTCTCATGATTTTCTGTTCAGGAAGAGAGTTCAGCAGATGATATCGTTATGAAAGAAGCAGAGGAGGACAAACAAGTTGCACCCTCTCCATGTAAAGTGTGGACTCACTTTGCCAATATTTGGGATCATGTCTATAAATCAAGGTATAGTTGTATATAAGAGTATTTACTTTGCCATTTAATTTTGTAGAGTGTGAAAAAATAAGATGACACCCGCACACTGTCTAACTTGCAAAAACACCAGTGATTTATTCAAATAGCAACGTTTCGGCCTCGGGTAAATTCTGTAAAAATATAAGGATAAATAATGCTTTTATGCTCCACTACGCTACATCCAGGGGTCAGAGTAGAATTGTTTTTATTCCAAATACTGGTGCAACCACAGTTATGTGATTACAAAAAACATTAGAAATTGGCAATACTTTTGTTTAAAAAAGGCAGAACACTTGTGATGTCATAGTGATGTCATAGTGAAACAATGGTACCTTACTGTAAGAAGGGGTGGAATAACATGTTTATGCCAGAAGTTCCTGATATTGACATGACTGGATCTAAAAGCAACTCCAGGTCTGTCACTCACGAGGAACAATGTTTGTGAAAAGGGAAAAAGCCGTTTAACCCATTCTTTAAGACATCAATAGCATTGAGAGTTTTCTTTCCACAGAAGCAGCCCATAATACTGTGCTTTTATTTGTTTGCCCATTTAACTCCATGTGTTTGTGTCTCACCGCAGTCTGAGAGTGTTTGAAGCTCTGAGCTTTGACCCTTTGGCCTCTGTAAGTGTTCCCCTGGGTAGGCCTCCTCCACCACAGGACGTCTTGCTCTGCCTGGACCACCTCAGGAGCACCGTCACCCAGATGCTGCAGGCATTTAGCAGGTAACCATCTCAACTCAAGCTCTGTTCATCTGCCTTAACCCCAGAGCTACCATTTTCTTATTCATTTGAGAAATCTAAAAACAGTAAAAGTTGACAGATGATTCTTTTTAAGTTTATCTTTTAAACATATTCTCCTTTTAGTCAAAGGACCAACACTATGGAAGTGCACGCTCACTGATAATGCATTTGACTAATCAGGTAAAATCAGTGCACACTTACTTAAAAGCTTTGAAAATGTGTTGGGGCTTTGTTTTTTGCATGACTAAATACAAGTCCTTAACTAGTTCTAATGTTTACACAGAACAGCTGTTTTTATAGTTGTTTATAGTTTTATTATAGGGCAATCATATCTTGAATAGTTGTCATTTTTTCAGTCTTCTACTTTATTCTCTTCCCTGCTGCTGTGACTCAGAGCTAAATATATCCACTAAACACTAGTGCTTTGCTCGCACATCTAAGACACCTTAATAAGGAACATGGGTCAGATTGTTGGCTTAATGCATTTTATATGATACACATCTTAAGTTAAATCACAGTGGATATTTCCAAAATATGCAATCACATCTCCAATCACAAGTCTATGCATATGAAGAGAAGGGATGTTGGATTTTTGCTGGTCATGCTTTGATAATATCACTTACCAGAATTCAACCAATGCAACAGTTTGTGTCTGGAGACTGCTGCTGCTGCTGGCGGCGTTACCATGGAGACTCCACTGATTTCCATGTGCACGCAGCCCGGCCCATGACTCACTCTTACATCTCCACAGCGTCTTTTGTGCACAGAACACTAGATATGGATAATTTAGCAATGCTCAGGCTATATTTCCACCTTCTTTGGGCGTTCAGGAATAGGATTGTCACATACTAAAACACGCCACAAATATACCACTAAAGTAAAAATTTGGCAGTCAAGTAGTTTTTAACCATGTTCCCCCGTAAAACATGTAGCTGACAAAACAAAAGTATTCCTTCAAATAAGTCAAATAATACAGTAAAATGTTCTTTACAATTGCTACAATAGACATTATCGGAGTGTGTTCCATATTTTACTTCAATTGTGGCTCATGTACCAGTTCATAATTTATAAATGTCCATAATTCAACTAGACAATATTAGCAACAATCCTCTTTTTGTTTTGTTATCTTTCTGTGAATATGGTTGTATTCTTTTGTATTTTCCTGCTAATAAATCTATATGGTAGATATGAGATTTGCTAATTCACACTACAGTTTGATTTGTCCCATTATGGCAGTGTAGTTTTTTTTTTTTTTTTGTGACTTTGAGCCAACGAATGTTAGGACAAAACGTGGGGATTAAAATCTTGTAGTCCATACTTGTGCCTTTCGGACCAGCTCCTTCTTCACTACAATGGTCCGATACAGCGACCATATAACTGCTGCACTGATCCGCCTGTCAATCTAATGCTCCATCCTTCCCTCACTCATGAACAAGACCCCGAGATACTCCACAAACGGCAGAGATGAAATCCTGTGGTCCCCTAAGACCAAGATATTCTGTCCCTAAAGACAGTGAACAGAACCGGTGACAAAGGGCAGCCCTGGTGGAGGCCAACATTCACCGGGAACAGGTCTGACTTACTGCCGGCAATGCGAACACAGCTCTGGCTCCGGTCATACAGGGACCGGATGGCCCTCAGCAGGGGACCCCGGATAACCCCCCAAAGGACACTCTGGGACACCTCAACACCCTCTCCAAATCCACATGTGGACAGGTTGGGCGAACTCCCATGAACCCTTGAGTATCCGATGGAGAGTGTAGAGCTGGTCCAGTGTTCCTCAGCCGGTACAAAAACCACACTTCTCCTGAATTTGAGATTCAACCATCGGTCGAAGTCTCCTCTCCAGTACCTTGGAGTAGACCGAGGAGGCTGAGGAGTGTGATCCCACAATAATTGGAACACACTCCCTGTGGTCTCCCATCTTGTAGAGAGGGACCACCACCCCAGTCTGCCAACCATTGGCACCGCCCCCGATCGCCAAGCGATGTCGCAGAGATGTGCCAAGACAGTCCCACAACATCCAGAGACTTTAGTTTGTCACTATCCCACAATCCACCTGGCAGCCTTACCACCAAGGAGGCTGCCAACCACCTTGGTGACCTCAGCCAGGGAGATGGAATTATCCGCCCCAACATCGTCATCTTCCTTAACGGAGGATGCGACGGGGGATTGAGGATAACCTAAAAGTATTCCTTCCACCACCCAACTTTTTCCCCAGTCGAGGTCAGCAGCTCTCCACCCGCACTGGACACAGTGTTGGCAAAGATCGGCTTGCCCTTCCTGAGGCACCGGACGGTTTGCCAGAATCTCTTCGAGGCTCGACCGATAGTCATGCTCCATGGACTCTCCGAACTTCTCCCAGTCACAATCATTCGTCAAAAATACAATCCTATACGTTTCACCTAAGATTGTACTTCTTTCTGTCCATGCAGCTTCATGACCTCCCCTGATTTAGTAGAAGCCCAGTCTCTCCTCAGTCTTCTCCAATCCACTCCGGTAAGAGACTGAATAAAATATGGCACGTTTTCTTTTATTTTGTCACAAAATTGTCTTATTGTTTGTTCCAGGCCGTCAAAGCAGACAATCTAACAGCCGCTGATATTCTTGATTGCTTCTCACAACAGGAGTACAGGTGAGTTATGAAATGTTGTATACAGTATTTGCTGGACTTTGTATGTAAACCGCATCAGATAAAATGTATTCTATTGTAATACTGAAGCAGCACCGGACGGAGCAAAGTAAAGACGATACTGGACACCGCAAGATTTAACACTATTTACTAATGATGAGTGAAGAGTGAACTGTGCAGCGTTTTGAATAAACAACTGATGTTTTAGAGCATGTTTGGGGATCCCAGTGAGCAGGCCATTGCAGCAGTCCAACCTACTGGAGACAAAAGCAAAAACTAAAAAGCGCTGTGAATTTTACATCCCACGTCCTCATTAATAGTTTTGATTGCGTTTAATCTCTTCCTGTTTATTGAACCTGAATGACCTCCTGAGATGTGCTTGGTTTAGTAAAACAAGCCCAGGATTACATCGCACTACACATTCTCTTGAAGGCTTTGTCACGGTTACAATGGTGCTCAGATATCCGTCCCTTTTATGTGGCGTGCCCGGGCAGGTTCTCACCACTGCTCCCATGACAGAAGAGGCTTCCTGTAAGACGGCCCCAGCAGAGTGCTTACAATAGCAGTGACCATGCCAACAGCACTACCCCCGGCTTTGGAGCCAGGAAAGCACTCGCCACACCTATTGTTCTGCCACCACTGTCAAGGACAACATGTGACACTGCTGCGAATACTGTACTACTGTACTGTGTAGATACTGTATGACTACGTTTTCCAGGATTTTCACCAATTAAGGCCAAGGTTGAAGACAAAATGAAAAAAAAAGATTGTTTTAGTAAGTTTATATGTGTAGCACAGACTATACCAAAACTATCAAATACAAGTTAGTTGACAGTGAGAAAATCACTACACACTTCCTTTGGGCACTGCACTAGTATAATAACATTTAGTGTCACAAAATTTAAACATTTCTGCACAAACAAATTAATAATAAACATAAAATACAAACATTCTTTGGCAAACTTCTGGTATTTGTAATCAATGAAGCTTAAAACAATCGCTGAATGTATTTACACTTGTTTTGTAGTGAACTTTTCAACCATTTTAACATTGGGATTTAAATGAACTGCTTTCAGTTACAGTATAACAGAAAAAATGCTCTAATATCCAAGAATGTATGTGTATTTGTATATATATAATATATATGACCTTCAAACACTACTTATGTAAAGTATGCTTTGCATAACTTTACAAAGATTATTTTTGCTCTACTTTAGATGACGCTGACCCTTTGGCAGCCACTTCCCCTTTTACGCACTAATCCAGTCCGATAAAGCTTTCTATATAATCTCCACTTCCTGTGTGTATGACATCATTTACCCAAACATATTCACCACATCACACCCAACATTTCTTCATGGGACCAAAACTCTTGGAAAATATTTTAATAGATTAATATCAGCGAACATTGTGTTTAAAACTAGCTAATCTCACACTCACTGTTTAAAGTCTGCTCAGGACATTACAGGATACATCCACAAACTTTTGTTGAGCGCTTTTTCTACAAAAGGCAACACAAAGCACCTCACAACCTACAGTATATGGGGCTACGAATGAATGGCATATTTACAGAAAAGTTCATTAATATACACTTCCCTGTGATAAATAAATACATATCATAAACATTCAAATCAAGCATACGAGAAAGAAAAAAAACATTAATCAAGTAATTGAAAACCTTTTTAACATTAAAATCACACATTATGATAATAATGATAAATAATGATTAAATCATAAATGGCCACAGTGCATTCAAAAGAGTAAAGACAACATCCTTCAGTTCAGATATACATAGGAATAGTTATCAATTGTTAGGTGATTGCCCTTATTCAATTGCTCTGCGCTCCCCCTGTGGCGATCAAAGGTCCTGCATGCTCCACTCAGACTGTCTCCCAACACAGAAAGATAAATAGGTCAGGAAAAAGGGGAGTATTGGGGTCGCAATAATATAAATGTCCAAACATCACTCTTGAGTGTTTGACAAAATCAGCATTTCTACAATCAATATGTTCATATTTTTTATATTAGCCTTAACTTCTTCCTATCTGGCTGTGCTAGCATGGCATGTGCTTGGACTTTCAGATAATCCAAACATCAAGTGTAAATCTACTGCATAGTTTGGTAATGAGCATCTTAGTTTTAACATATATTGATTTATACCATATTCAATAAAAGTTGTAATGTTTTTAAAATACCTCCCATTTTATAAAAGATAAATACACAAAATACAACGTTTAATTATTTATTTTTTTCTCGCCTGACGTCATCGGCCCTTTTAATTTAAGCGCAGCTCCCTAATAACGAAGCTGTGTTTTCTCAGTAAATAATTGATCGTTACATTCACAGAGCGTATGTATTATCAGTGGCCTTAAATATTTGATTTCCTTCACATTAGTTGTATGTGAGGCTTGCATAAGGCCTCAGGGGGCTGCTGCTCACATCACTGTTCTGTCAGAGACCGAACAAAACACTGCCCCAGATGAAGGCTTTCACTGAGGACTGCCCCTTTCTACACCACCACTTCAGTTCAGCGTTTTGAGCCTGCGCCGGAAATGATTTATTGCTTGATTCAAGATCAGCGTCACTCAGTTTTTCAGGACTTTTGAGGGAACAATCTTATAAGTTGTGAATTTGAAGCTAGATTTTGATATGTCTTCTTCCCTTCTGGTTGTCAAAAAAAATGTAAATATCGGTTACAGAAAATCCATATAGGTGCAGTAGTAGGTGTTCTTAAGAGGACAGGTTTATCAATGTTGTTATTTTGTCGATAGATTAAGAATGCTGTTATTTCATGTCCGATACAAAGCTCAATACTTTTCCCACCCAGACTCAAAAGGGTAAATGTCTTTTTACAGCATTATGTTGTGTAAATGTTGAAGTATTCTATTTCAGTTGGAGGGCAAGTGCCTTTCTTTCTCAATTTCAAGCATTGTGCTATGGCCTAAACTTCTAAGACTAGAAATGTCAAACCATAGTTGCCTCAGTGATAAACCCTTTGGAAAGATGCGTTGCCTTTATAACAGCATTCACTTTTATAAAAGGGCAAATGCCTGAAACATCCAAAACATGTTCCTGGGTCCGTGAAGAGTATTAGTGTGTCAGTTGTTGAAATCAAAGAAATAGCAGCACATTTTATTGCCAAGTTATTCTTGAGACTAGCTTGCGGCACATCTGCATGAAGTGCTCTCTCCCCTCGTTTTCTGCTTCATCACACAGTCCTCAGCACCGTGGCTGTGTTTCTATGGCAACGAGCTTGTGTCTGCTCCCGTCATGTGCTTCTCACTCGGTTGGAGAACAGCCTGGTGATCATTGTGCCTGTTATGAGCTGTGGACTTATGCAATCCCCGTGTTTTCATGTGGAGAAAATCATTAGTGTCTCAGTGGTGGTTTTGTCACTTACCTGTCACCACATTGTTTTTGTCATAGGCCTATGTTTATGTTTAAAAGTTGATATCAGACATTTGAATTAAACAGTAGTGCAGGGTTTACCACATTCGTCTGAATACAAACACTGTTTATGCAGTTTACCATGAGCTGGGTGGGAATCACTGGTACTGCTCGATTGGTGCAAGTCCTACTTAAAGAACAGGATGTACTTTTTCAGGTAGGGCGTTTCTTGGCCTTTTGGAGGGCCCAAAGAGTCTGTCCCGGGACCTTGTGTGGCAGGGGTCCTCTCCTGTGGGCATCACTTGTCTGTCCTGTTTCCCCTGGTTATGTTTGTTATGTTTATGCATGTTTTTTTCCTAGTCTTGTCCCATAAGTTACATAAGTGATTGGCCCTGACAGCAGGCCAATACACTGGTCCGGGTCAGTGACCATGGAGTAGTTTGTGTGTCACTGATTGTGTATATGAGACTTTTCTGCTCATAAAGGGTAAAAACCACAACTTTTATTCAATTATGCTCTCTGCAAATGTTTTGTGAATGTAGTGAGAGACATTTAATCGGTCCTTTCATCAGCTTTACCGTCAGCGTCTAACTTTTGGCTCTCTGTAGGGGGCACTAAACTCTGAAGTTTCATTATTTTTCACATTCAGCTGACCTTGGGACGGGAGTTGAACAAACCATTCAAATGTTGTTCAAAATAGACTTTTAATGTGAAAACGGGGGCTAATTTGAAATTGTCAACATTTGAAGAAAAACAAAATTGTCGTTGCTCGTACATGGTTTAACCCAGGGGTGTTCAAACGCTTTAATGAGAGGGACACTTTAGTTATCAGACTGAGACATGCTAACCAGACTTGTCCAGGGGCCAATAATCTTCTGAGCTTTAAATTCTTACCAAAAAAAGCAGTGAGAATCATTCATAAAGTGGACTCGAGAACACACAAACAAGCTATTCATACAATCAAAACTGTTAAAACTAGAGGATCTGATCAAACTACAGTCACTCATTGTGATGAACAAAGCCAGAGACTCTCTGCTGCCAGCAGCTGTACAACAGCTCTACAGCAACTGTACAACAGCTCTACAGCAGCTGTACAACAGCTCTACAGCAGCTGTACAACAGCTCTACAGCAGCTCTACAGCAGCTGTACAACAGCTCTACAGCAGCTCTACAGCAGCTGTACAACAGCTCTACAGCAGCTCTACAGCAGCTGTACAACAGCTCTACAGCAGCTCTACAGCAGCTGTACAACAGCTCTACAGCAGCTGTACAACAGCTCTACAGCAGCTGTACAACAGCTCTACAGCAGCTGTACAACAGCTCTACAGCAGCTCTACAACAGCTCTTCTCTCTCAATATCAACCAGGACAGTAGAAGGAAGTTACACTTCTCTGTCCCTTTTGCCAGAACCACCCAGAAACACATGGGAATATCAGTGGTCGGAGTAAAACTATGGAATCAACTCGACTATGAAATAAAAAAATCCGCAAACATCCACATGTTTAAGAAAAAAATCAAAGCAACAACAGTGAAATCGTACGAAATGAATGATTAGAAAAAAACAATAAAAAACAAAGAATTATGAAAACAAAAACACATTAAAAAAAACAGTTTGA